TCATTACACACATCACATGTTACGGGCATGACTAAAATGCGACTTCAAAAAAAATTACCATCGCAGATATAATTTCTATTATAAAATAATATCCTCTGATTTTTTTTATTTTCTACAATTAATTTTAATCAATATAAACCGGAAATATTGAATGCAAAACCGAATGACGTAAATAATGTGTTAATTGTTATCTGTTTAGACCGATTTACAATTCACGGCCAGCACGTGTGTACACTCATGCCAAGAGCTTCCTCGCATTGTTTATGTATTTATTTATTTATGCGTCTACTGCTTGTCTCCGTCAATAAATTAAATTGTGATTTGGTATAAATAACAAGTGCGTGCAGTGTGTAATAAACAAAAAACTTAATGGTAAGTGAATTAAACGTGTTTTAACCCAGGAAGAATACGAAAAACATAATTCGTAAATTGTGTCGGTTGAAGTAAAATTTCAAGGGTAAATTTACGCTCTAAATGTATGGTTCAATAAACATGTGCTACACATCCACATCCGATCTCGCACGCATTAATATTAAATATAAATAAATCGCGCTCCGGCGCCGTCCGCATGTTATGTCGCAAAACGCAAATAGACGCTGAATATTTTCTCATTCGTACATTCGCGGTCGAATCTTGACTGAGTGTGCGTGTTTTGCATTGAGGATGACAGTTTTATGCAAAGCGCGACATTGAAATAAGCGTTTATGAAGTTATTGAGTGTTTTTTGTTTGATTTTTCTTGAAAAAATTACTTTTTAACTTCTGGGCGAAAAAGTATTGTGTGTATGGTATACTATAAAGTCAAAAATGGTATAAATGTATTTATGATGATAATAAAATTAAATTTAAACCAAATTTCTATGTAATTTTGAGTCATTTTCTATTTTTGTGCAAATTCATACGTGTTTTGGCAACATTGACTAAAAACCGCCGAAATTCTTTGTTGTCTTTGTCTACTGCAGAAATACAACTGACAAGATGGTGACAACTGTCACGCATTTTCGTATTTATTTAACAACCAAACATAAATCACGCATTTTATCTCCGCACAGCAAATTTCCATGATAAACACATTTTTTGCATTTCTGGCAAAACCACATTTTATAAATATTTTAGTCATTAATACATAGTAACTACATTGATCGACATTTCGGACAGATTTGGGCTATGCGTAACTAATGTGATTGCTTCGAAAAGTTCATCGACCCTGCTCGCCAAACAGGAATTCAAATGCGAATCACTTCCCTAATTTGAAGCATAGCGCACGCGATGTCGAATTTACGAGTTTTGTTCCCATGGTTTCCCGTTTCCCTTCGCGGCGCACGGCTCAAATAGAGGGGACGCCTTCGCATCCTTTGCAGGAGCGATGCCGCGAGACCACACAACACACGACTCACAGCTGGTCGTTAATTTAATGTAGGTCAGCGTACGCACTCGCTTGCAAAACGTGTTTGTATGCGGTGTACACTTGTACGTTGTAGCTTGAGCTTGGATCTTCAAAAAGTGAGCTGTGGACTAGGATATTTTCATTTTCTGACGTCATCTCGTAGTCAACAACGCAATTCAACTCGAGTTACATTAATGATTCATTAGATTTGATAAAATATGAAGATATTGATTAAAAATAGTAAAATTTAGGGTTTTATGACCCTAGGGAAGCAAATTGGGGTAAAAAAAGGGTAGATATCCATTAAACGCATTAAAAATCAAAAATGTAAAGATAGAAAGAAGGGGGAGACCCCTAGGGACTAGCTGGATGACTCATGCACGACTGCGCATCGTACAAATTGCTAGCAGCTCTAGTATACCTGCAAAAAGGAGTGGGGGTAAGCTGCAGCGTGCTACGATCATCCTTACGATTACTGGTCGTCCCCGAGAGGTCACTATTGTACTCTGTCGAGTTTGAGTCACGCAGAAATCCGTTATAAACGAATGTAACCCTGTAAAGTAGTGGGGGAACGAGGAATCATCCTGCAAGTATCCTTTCCTCTAAAAATCGTCTCACTAGTTCCCAAAATTAATATTTTGGCATAAAATTGAAGAAAAATATATTCAAAATTGTCACAAACATTAAAAACGTAATTAATCATAATTTTTGTATGTTTTCTAGGTCATAGATTAATGCATTTCACGTTGACGCATTGGTTCGTTGGCTTGCCGGCCATTTAACGTCCTTGAACATCACGCATTAGTCAAACACAATTTTAATTTGAACTATTCGCACAAAGCAATTCGGCAGCACGTCGATAATTATAACTTATTAGAGACGCAACAGACGCGCAAAAAAACCTCATCTATTATTATCAATTGACCTAAATTTTTTCGCGTGCCATTTTTCGCCAAGCATCAAAATTTTAGCGTCTTGCATGTTGTTTTTTGGTAATAGTAATTAATAGCTATGCTAAAAGAAATGTGCGTACGCGCATAAAAACGTGGAATAACAAACAAACGAGTGTTTGAAGAGTGTGGTAGTTATGCTATACCAATGAAAATAGCAAAGGAAAAAAATAGAAAATAAGTAGCACACACGTCTGTCTACTCTCACTGATCACACGTTTTTCGCACGCGAAAATTTTTCGTCAAATTTAAATTTTAATTCAGTTTTCTTTGAATTGTAAGCCAGGTCGAGCGTGCAACCTGTTTTTTTTTAATAGATTTTATTGCAAAAATAAATCGTTTGAGTTTAGTTGGGAGAGTCAGAATGAAATGAAACAGATGTGTACGCCTTCGTTTAAGTTGTGGTCGCGGTTGGTAATTATGAGAACGCCAAGCTGTCTATCAGTGTTTTTGATGTGTGTTTACGCTTTGAAACGCGAGCAGGAGGGGTATCAGTATTGATTTCATCTAAATTTAATACAGATTATCATATTGCATTAATAAAAATCACGCAAGTGTAAGAATATTGTCGATAAAATTTGTTTTGTAATTTTTTGTAGTTTTTTCTGCTAATTTTAAAATAATTAAGAAAATAAACATAAATTAATATTTAAACTTATAAAAACGACCTAATTGATAAATATTATTAATTTATAACTTTATACAGGGAAATCAGTTATGATGAACCAAAAATATATTTTTTTTGCAATTTTTTGCAATTTTCGATGATTTTCTCATTTTTCGATATTTCAATTGCGAATATCTCGCAAATGAAACGCGATAGAAACAAACGGATTTAAAATTCTAAATCCTGGTGAAATTCTCTACAAGATAAGCAATTGAAATAATGATAATTCGATCAATGTGTCAAAAAAAAATTTAATTTTCTGGATTTCACAAATGTAATTTAATTTTATGAGTGAAAGCAAAATATCCATATAAAATTGAAATTAATTATTCTCGATCGTGCCGAAACTCCTCTCCCAAGATAAGATATAGGTAAGCGAAAAAAGCAGGAAATGAAAAATTTCGCCGGATTCGCTAGGAAACCAACGAACGAAAAGGAAATCGAAGAATCACGACGCGTGCACTTTCGTAAACATCTGCGAGCCGCTTTGCCACGGCTGAAACACAGAAAAGTAACAGTTTCTGTTTGCCAGTCGGCACTCACACTCACGATACATCTAACGATTACATTACGATCTGAGGCGATGATGCCGCCTGCTGTCGACAGTGGAAAATTTATTTCCTCAATGCTTTCCTGTGTGTTTAAGCGCATATAAACACTCTTACTCTCTGTTCCGTGCTGCTGCTTCCACGATTATTAAAAATTTATGATTTTATTTTTTCCGCACCGAAAAAAACATTTCCTATTGATAAAAACATAATTTTCTAATCATTTAATGCATGTTATCACACATTAAGCGCCAATCAAGCGAATTATACGAATATATTTCTGTTTACATATTAATTATGATGATAACTGATAAATAAATGAACAGATGACATTACAACTCTTGATTATTTCGGCAAATGTAATAAATTTAACTATAATCAATGTTTTATGTGACCCGTAGCGCGTCTTACGTAATAAAACAATATTTTATTAAATCTTGGAATAAATTTCACACCGCGTAGGTAAACAAAACAATTTTATTAATATTTATAGTGCATAGTGTAGAATCAGAATAAATTAATTAAATATTCGCGAAATTTGCGCCCACGTCACAATACAAAACACAAAACAAATAAAATAAACAACAACGTAGTAAACAATAATATTTTTGACCTGACAAGTAAATAAATACGGTTTTCAACTGTATAATGGTGGTTTTAACAGTTTTGACTCATCGTATCAACTTTAATTGTATAAATATTAATGTTTAAAGTTGGATGACTTTTTAATAACTTTAATTTTGTTTATGGAATATCAAAACCCAAATTAATTTGTTTGTTTTAAATATTTTTGATAAAATATTGCAAAAAAAATTATTATTTTGCGCGTTTTAGGGCGCTCCTGGGCTGCTTTCGTAATCCCTTGCAAGAAGGCAATGACTTCACGCGTCGCGTTGTTCCGATCGATGGCAGGAGAAACAACCTTGGCCCGAATTTCGCGAGCAAATTCAACAACCACCGCATCATCTCTCTCTGTTTCTTTCTTTTTGGTTTAAATTCAATTGTAAAACATTTCAAGTCTCTCAAAACATGAAAAAAAAAACTTGAATATTTTGCCTTTTTAGCCAAATTTTACATAAAAAAAAATTAAATAATGGTGTGGTTATGATGAAAATGGAAATGGTTACGCTTGGAAAACTTTCATTCCCGAGCAAGCGAGCATGCCAGCCAGCGAGACGCATCAAAATGAATTACGCGACCTTGAAACGAAGCGGCGAGTGGCCACGACTCGACTAACACACTCCGGGATCACAATATCACCACTAACCGCTACTCATCTTCTTCACCATCTCATTCTACGTTTTTTTTTTTCGCCTTTAAAACCAGCAAAAACAGCTAAAAACCTTTTTTGTAGGTTGTTTTTCAGTTGTTCCCTAATTTTTCATAATGGCGGCTTTGTTTTTTACAGATTTCTGTATTTTTTTTTTAATAATATAAATATTTACTGACCTTTCCTGCGTCCAAAAGGTCCCAAAAACGCACTATTCTTCCCAACGATATTTTCATCAATGTATTTAATTAATTTCGCAATCTCTTCGCTTTTGCGCGTATTGCCGCCCCCGACCGTGGGCGCATTGTTCTTTTTCACGAGGCGATAATAGTCCTCCGCACAGGTGCTAATCTTCCGGTTGCCGTACGACTTCCGGACGGTGGTTGTAGACGACGTCGATGTCATCCTGTCATTATCCTCCGCCAGCGCACTCACAAAAAGTTTACAAGCGAAAACGTTCACAAGATAAACCGCAAAAAATCCGCGCGCGCGCGAAGAAAACAGCTGATGCTGCTTGCAAACCGTTGGAAACACTTGAGAACAAAATTATTATTCAAAAAGTAACCAGTATAACGCACAGGAATACCTTATCTATAGTCAAATTCTTTATCGATGTCCTTTTTTGTTTAAAATAACACGCACTGTGACCAAAATTGTATTTGGTAACTCGCCGCACGTGAGGGAAATAATTTTGAATATAATCCGCAGCAAGCAGAGCGTTGATGGTTCGTTCACTCGGCTGCGACTGGCAGCGAAAAGTGCAGAAGCAGAAACGCGAACAAAAGCGCTCGCTGCTGCTGGCACTAGCCGATGTGGAGTAGCAGGAACCAGCAGGTAATTACGCGCATGCGTGTAGCGTTAATGTCTGATGACGCTATCGATCGCGACCGAGAGAACACGATCGTAACTTTATATGATAGACTTACTGCCAGCACTAGGCAACCAATTAAACTAGCAAGTAAATTATCCGTTTTTATTTATAATAACTGATCGAATACTTTTTATTTTTATTATTGATTTGAATAAAAAATATCACCGTGCGTTGTCGTCCGAGTTGGTTATCTTACTTCACTGGTTTCATTTGCCATAAGCCGTCGTTCAAGTAATGGCAGTTTTCGATTCCGATTCCTTTGTTGACCTTTGCGCTGTCAAAAGTTTTCAAAACATAAAATTGTTTCGTTTCAGAATTAAATTAACTTACATATCCTCAGTTGATAGAGATGTAATACCAATTGCCAGTGCATGTTCCTTTCCTTCAGCCATAATTGCCTAAAGTAAATAAAATATTTTAACAAAAGTGTGAAAAATATTGAAATTTTACATACAACTACAGTTCCTTTAGGCACTTCAGTCATCTTTGCTCCTGGTGATGTTAAACCTGGACACATTATGTGTGCTCCACTCAATACAAAACGTATGGCACCTTTATCTACTTGTTGCATTGGCAAAAAGAATGGATCTATAAAAATAATTAATTTATACATGCAACCAATTATACACTTTGCCCCAGAAAAAAGAATAAAACACAAAGAATTGAATTATAACTCACATTTGTGTAATAATTTAAGTGTAGGCATCCATGGTCCCTCTCTATGCCTGAAGAACATCAACTCACCAGCATTGTTAACAATAATTTCAATGTGGTCATGACTGCAAGTAAATAAAAACATAAATTAATCATAGACAACAGAAGGAATTAAGTAAACTTACCATTTAAGAATTCTAAGATTATCCTTCTTAGGTAAAATAGCATCTATATAGTTCTCCAAATGTTCATAATGTTCTAAAATTTTAGCTCGTATCCCTTTCTGCACTGAGGATTTCAGCTGCAGCATGCTTGAAACCGACTCCTTTTCATCAAATCTTCAAAAAATGCACGATTAATAATTAATATTAACATAAAATAAACTCGGGTATTTATAGAATCACTCACTTTTTAAACATTTTAACAGATTTTAACGATAATTAACTACGAAGTGCATGAAAAGACGGCTTGCTGTTGCGTTTTGAGTAGTTTTGAGGTTATTGGATTGTCAAAGTCGTTCACAAATCGGCCGGAATTGCTACAAATGTCAAATTTTGATTCAAAACTTTCAAACCAAAGAAATATTTATAAATAACAATGTTTTGCGCTTGCAGTTATATTTTAACTGTGCAGTATAATACGAATGCCTAAAACAAAAGTAAAAGAAATTATAATCATGTCTAGGAATTATTTATTTAAAAAAATGTAATTTAGCGCCATCTCGAGACAAACGTCACTTTTGTCTGGTTAATGTCAACATAAGTTCCCACCGTTGTTGAGTCTGATCAGGAATTTCCCTTGTGAAAAGTTATTATTTAAAGAAAATATTAGTTTTACCACGTTTAGTTTAAGTTATTGGATTTACGGATGAAGTCCCACCCGTGTAAACTTATTAAAACCCATCATTAAAGGCGGCACGAGCGAAAAAGTGGCTTCAATCCAACCCTAGGAGCTTGAGGCATTCAAAGTACGTACCTCAATCAATTCTTATCACAATAAACATGAATTCTCTGCCAAATTGTGCAAAATTTCCGGGTATTTTATGTGGGATAATTATAATGTTCTTATAACTTACCAGTTTTTACGAATGCGCCGATTAAAAACATAAAAAGCAGTGAATTTTAAGTGCATTTGTTGGTTATTACAAGCCAAACATCAATCAACAAGGTAGGTTTAATTCGATGTTTAAATTTAATCACAATCAGTGAATATTTTAAGTTGCGATGTATTTGTATTTGTAGAGTGTATGAAAAGAGATGTCTTGGCCACAATGGCAGCCTCCTGCCCAGCCTGCAATGCCTATGATGAACAATGCTATGCCAATGGGCATTCAGTATTCAGCTGAGCAATGGCAGCAAATGCAGCAACAAAACTGGCAGCAGTGGGCACAATGGCAGCAGCAATATCAGCAATGGCATCAACAATATGGAGCAGAGGTATAAGAATATTAAACTTTATTTTTTTCTTGTGAATAACATAATTTTTTTATGCTTTAGTATCAAAAATCATTAACTGCAATGGCAAATATTGGTACAATAAGCCCATCAACTCCAATATTGAACACAGCAGTACCACCTCCTTTACCAAATGACGCTAAACCTCCGCCACCACCTGAAGAACCTCAACAAAATCAACTAAAAACAAATAAAAACACATTTCAAAACAATGCAAACATAAAACCTGCATATGGATACAATTCTCTGCCTCCACAAAACAATCAACAAGTGCAGAATCAGCAACAACGCCAGCTTCAAGGTAAACGTCAAGCATTAGAGCATCAACCTGATATTGCTTCATCAAAGAAAAATAAATTAGACTGGCAACCGCCACCTACAACTAATACACCACAAGTTGGTCCACAATTACCTACAACTTCAGTGCATCCTCAACCACAACCACAACAAGAAAACAAGGAAGATTTATCTGATCCAGAGAAAAAGTTTATGAAACAATTCGCTGAGTGGGAAGCACAGTTCAATAAATGGAAAGAACAAAATCAAGATCATCCAGATAAAGCACAATATCGCGAGTACGAGAAAAAATGGGAAGCGTGGCGGAATCAACTCCTAGAAAGACGAGAACTAATGCGTAAGAAACGCTTAGGTTTACTTCCAGCCAATGTCAATATAAACACATCATTAGAAATGAATAATGGCAACACTACAACCAATTCGAATCCAAAAACATCAACAGTTCACAATGCCTTGAATACTGATACAACAGATGTAAATAAACCGATTAATACTAATGCATTATCGACGATATTCAAGAGTAATTTGAATGATGGCATACCAGGTTTAGATTTGGTGGATGCGCCGGGTCAACCAGATGATATACCACCAAATGAACAAAAACCTGCAAATAATGAAGTACAACCTGCGTTAAACTTAGAAGCATTGTCGAAGAACCTGAATTCAATTCTGGGGGATCAGAAGTTATTGAATATATTAAGTTTAGTTGCTCAGAATACAAATCCTGGTGCAGCTGCAATCAAAAATGAGGTTATATCTACTCCACCTGTTGTTGCACCGACTATACCTAGTGGTATTACTCTTGCTCCTGCAAAAGTACAACTTACTGCAGATGATCAGACTTCTAACTGGTCGACGAATACTAATACCAGTGGGAATTCTACTGCTTGGAGTCAGGAGAAGGAACACAAGTTTGATCCAAGTCAGAATAATAGATTTGGGGTTATAGATTCACGACATGGTGGAAATAATGATAGGAGTTATCAAGAAGTGAAAAGATTTGATGAGTTTAATAGGAACGAAGCGAGATTTGGGCCGAATAATCATAATAATAGCTTTGAGGAAGAATATTGGTCACCGAATGGAGTACAAGATGATATTGCGCCTGCGCCGCCGACGATTGCCAGCTTTGATGAGCTTTTACAAATTGATAAGATTGTTGATTACGATCATAAAACAAAGAAACAAGGTACGTTTAATAGTTTAGTGTTTATGTTAAATTAGGTTATAAATAATTGAAAATGGCGTCTTTTTAGACACAACCGATGTGCGTGTGTTTACGCCACGATTATTTGACTACCGCCATAAACTTGTCACGCGCATTCCTCTCCCTGAACGCCCAAGATGGTTATCTGAGACGTTTCATAATATACCAGAGTTTGATCCGCCTATAAGTCGCACTGCGCCGCCATATTTACGCGATAGATACCCGCCTGGTCCATCTGGTAATTATATAGATAATCAATTTAGTCGGCGTCCTTTCCCTCCTCAAATGGGTGGTCCATCGAATTCTCCGCTTGATTATGATATGTCTTATCGACCTGATGATGACTTCCGAAGGCGGAATAATTCTAATCACACAAACAATAATAATAAAGATGATTATGAACGGTTCAAGCGACAGAAGTGGGTTGGTCGTGGGGATAACCGTGATAACCGGTCTCAGGATTCAGATAGGGATCGGGAGCGTGATCGGAATCGTCTTCGAGATAAAGAGGATAAAAATAAAGATAATAAAAGAGATGTTAAAGAGTCAACACCAGCGACAAATGCTAATACGAATAGTTTTGCGCAAAACCAACAATTATTTAGTGCTGCTTTAAAAATGGACGGGAATAGAGTGAGTCAAGCGGTGCGGACAAACATTGATGATCTCTTAAACAAGCCAGGGAGGGCAAAACGTCCTCAAAGGATTGTTATTGTTTTGAGAGGACCGCCAGGCAGTGGAAAAACTTTCCTAGCCAAACAAATTAAAGATAAAGAGGTGAAAATTTGAAAAAATACAAAAATATATAATATTTATTAAAATATTGATTTATAGACTGAAAATGGTGGTTCAGCACCAAGAATACTCTCACTCGATGATTATTTCATGGTGGAACAAGAGAAAGAAGTTGTCGAAGATGGCAAAACAATAAAAGTTAAAGAAATGGTTTACGAATATGAAGAATGTATGGAAGCATCATATCGCCAGTCATTATTAAAGACATTTAAGAAGACTATCACAGATGGATATTTTCCGTTTATAATTGTTGATAATGTCAACGATAAAGTGAAGTATTTTGATGGCATGTGGTCGTTTGCGAAACAAAATGGCTTCCAAGTAAGTGTTTTCATTTAAATTTATTTATTTTCTTCTTAATTAAAAATCTTTTCAGGTTTACATATGCCAACTAGATCTTGACGTACAAATTTGCACGAAAAGAAATATACACGGCCGTTCCGAGGTGGAAATTCAACACATTGTAAACGGCTGGGAGGAAGTGCCATCTCATTATGGTATTCTCGACGCGACGAATCTGATTCAAGCCGGGGCGATAACCGAAGTCGAGATGGAAGAGATTAACTCACCGAATGATGACTTTGACGACGAGGAAAATGAGGTAAGAGCGTGTCCCGCATTGGTGAGCAAGTAATCTTTTCATTTAATTGTTCTGTGACAGTTTGCATATGTTAATTCTTTAATTTAGCAAATTCAACAGAGTTTAAAGTATCTTTACGATACAATCTACACTCGAACGAATTCAATATGTTAAATTATTATTATTAATATCATACATTTGCTGCTTGCAATTTGCCGGTTTTCTGCTCTTTGTTTATACTTGTAACGAACGTTGTGTACAACGCATTTGAGCGTGTGTGAGCGTCACTAAAATTTAGAGAACCTCTTCAGGAGCAAGCGTGCAATAGCAGCAAGTGGGACAAATTCGAGTGTTCCATTGATAATCTCGGTAAGTTGCATTTAAAATACAGATGACACACATGTATATGAATCTATTTATACGATTATGTCTTTATTTCGAGTTGAAAATGAATGAAATTTTGTGATGTGTGGCGTTTAAAGTGCGCGTGTGTGATGGTTTGAACATGGTGTGATTGCAGCCAAGCTTGATGGGATCAATAAACCCCTCCGCCCCGCCGGAACGATGGAAGACTACCTCCAACTGGATGAATGGACCGTCACAAGAACGGAGACCAAACCAGGACAAAAACGAGTATGTAATATGATAGTTTAGGAGTGAAACTTTGATGATATGTTATGGGGTTTGTAAAGGTGCGATGGGCAGACCTGGAGGAACGCAAACAACAGGATAAGATGAGAGCGATTGGATTCGTCGTTGGTCAGACCGACTGGGGACGTATGATGGATCCAACGCAAGGTGGAAGTCGGCTTACGCAAACGAAATACATCGAGCGTGTCGGTGTGCGCAAGGTGAACACGTAAAACACGTTTGCTATTCATCCCTTACATAGGTACATGCTTATGTATATAAGTTCCTTTTTTGGTTTAATCATTGTTTTATTTTCTATATCTATGCGATTACATTACTAATAATAATTTACTACATACTTATGTATAGGAATTATAAATGCGGAAGTCATTGGGACTATTTTCTTTACACACCACAATTGAACCTTTTTTGTGTAATTTGGTGTTTAAATATGTAAAATATGCGATAAAAGCTTAAAGGAAGAAGTGTTTGAAGTTATAGTTATATAATTTGGTTTGAATTGGCGCTAGGATGTCTTATTTTGTTTAAATATTTGTTTTTGTGTATAAGTGCACTTGTTTTTTGATATTAGTGAGTTTATCGTGTAACCTCACTGCATTTTTGAAAAATAATTCTTTTATTAGCGCCTTGATGACGCTACAATGCACTTATGTGAATTTATTTTGTTTGTTATTGGTGGTGAGTGTTTAAAGATCACTTGTCACTCTAGTACTATTTGTATCTAGATAAGATTATGGAATATTATCAATGCGATGCATTGGTATGTTTACATCTGCCGCATCTATTGGATATGCTAAACCTTGAATGGTGTTTTTTCCTGGTGTCGGTGCATTCCGATGCTGCGCTTGTTGCTGCTTATTTTCTTTCTGTTGTTTTTTCTGGTTGGTTTTCTTTGCGCGCGGTTTATACACGCGATTCTGCGCTTCTTTCTGCGCCATATGCGTTTTAATAGGCCACTGACCTAAATCTTCCTCTGATAGTGGAAGTAGTCCATCATCACCTTTCGGGTTGTTTCTACCGTTGCTGTTGCTGCTACTGTCGATTACAATCACATTCGGTAAATTGATGGTTGTATTGCCATTATTATTTCCTTTGTATTTTCCCTTCATTTCTTGCATATGCTCTTGAATGCAATTTTGCAGGATGTGCAGGAAGAAGAGGAATGCAAGTAATGTCAGCGCGGATAGTGCCACATTACCCTTTTTACCTTTTGAATGACCTCTTAAATTAAATAATAAAATTAACAAGTTTAAAATTTATAAAGTGATTGCACTTACTTTGATGTCCATCCATGATGTTCTTCATGATATCGTTCCAATTGCGGTGGTTTTGTTGATGAAGCAAGACCTAATCCACCGAATGCACCAAAACCCAAACTTGGAGAATGCGCACCAAAAAAGTTATTGATTGCATTCGCAGCCATTGCGAAATTTTATATTATGTTTATTATATAAACTTGTGATTGTAATGAAACGAAGAACTGAACTAAAGTTTTGTTTCTTGTTTCCTAGCGACTCAAGTGGAATTCGATTTCTGTCCCCAGAGTAAACTGGGAGTAATCTGTGTGCTCGTGTGCCGGAAATAATAGAATAAATGTGTAATTATAAGGGGCACGTGCGCGTGGTTACCGCTAGCTGACGAATGTACTTTTCCGTGTGACATCAAAGCCCAACCGAGCAGAATATGCTCGCAAATTTTGTGCTTATTAGTGTAAATCTTAATTTATGTCTTCTAGTTACATGTTCGTGACTTATATGAACTGGTTTTTCTTTGGGAAGAAGGTGAAAAAGGCTAAAATCGTTACTTTTAGTTGGAAATTTAATAAAAAGTTACTTTTACTAGACATTTACTTGATATTAAGTATTATATTCCCGAAATATAAAAGAAAATCACAGGATTTTGCTTAAAAACTTTTCTTTTCTTTAGTTTCATTAATTCTTCAATGAATAATTAACGTTTCAGTAAGTCTACTGCAATAATTTGATGATTTTCAACAAATTTATTTTAATTTTCTTATTAAAAAGTAGTTTTGAGGCTAAAAACCCTCGTAAAATGGTTCCTTTTGAAGTTTTGAATGGAAAATTAAGTAAAATCACAAGATATAATTATAAATATTTATTTATATTAAACATAAATAATATAATATTAAATTACATTCGTTTTCCTTACAAAAATTACCAAATAAATCATTTTATAAAACATAAATAGTGCCATCTCGTCCAACATTCCATCTCACCACTCTCCACCGCCTTCATTACGTATAAATATTTATAAATTTGTATAAATAATACTCTCCTAATACAATAAAGATGATTGCCTCGCTTGTGTCTCTTGCCACTCCTTGCTCTACCGCTAAATTATTGACTCATTCAGAACTCATGCATTCGTTTTAAAAAAACTAATCTATCCACTCACACATCACGCATCCAATTCATTCATATTGGTTCATTTGCACGTTAAGTTAAACATAAACATACATAAATAACATTTGATTGGTCCCTCGCGTTAGCGCGCGGGACGTAACAGTGCTGTAACCAAGTGTAACCAATTCAAACATACTACATAATCACTAGCCACCTCAATACAAAATGCAATAATAGACAAAATGTAAATTATCAGTGTTTAGCACGCCAAAATTCAGCCTGGTGAAAATATATATATCAATATTACAAAGTCGTATTAGTAATTTAACGGAAACGGAAATAAATAATCGCGTGGGAGTTGATTTTGGGTAATATTTACAATATTGTAACAACGTGCGGGTTAAACAAAAGGGAATAAATTAAGTTATTGTGAGCACGTCGCGTTTCGAGTGAAATTACATTGCGATCCTGATTGTGGTACAAAATGGCGTCCGGGCGCCATTTTACACCTCATTACATTCCAAGTAAGCTTGGTGACAGTTGTCTCCGGACCTTCCACGCCTGCCAGCCTCATAAAGAACCTCGAAACTTTGACCATTTGTTGATTTTTCTAACATGTAGCTTGTAGCATAGCTAGAAATCAAAAAAATTAATTTTTAAGAAAATATTTTAAATTTTTTTTAAAAACTTACGTTCCAAGTTGACAGAAAATGCTAGTTTGGCCAATGTCTCCTGAACATTCAGCGTTGGCATCACACAGGTACTTCTTGGTGCATCCACTGTTAACAGTTGAAAGGGCCCGGATGTATCCCTTGACCATTGCAATACTGGCAACGGTAGCGTCACTGACTGAATCTTTTCGGCCAAGATTACGCGCGGCGAGTGAACGATGCGAGAAAGATGTCTTCAAAGCGTCCAAAAGATTCACAACGATGTTAATGAACTGTAAATGAATAAATATTTAATTATTCATACAAAGAAACATAAAAAATATGTAAATATACAATGTGTGTTTTGAAAATTAATTAATTTATGATACAAAATGTTAGTTTTTATTAAGTTTTTATTAGTTTTGAGGAACGTACCTCGCCAGCTTGTTTGGCCATGGTGTTCACCTGTTCGGGATTCTGGGAGCCGACAACCGCCGACAAGACCGCCGCGAGAATGCCCTGTGCAAAAGCGAGAAGCCACTACTAGTGCAATTGTTCTTTTTTGTTTTTTATATAGCTAGCTACGCCTTAAGCCTACGCCTTATTCGTATGTAAATGTGTTTCTGATTAGTGTGAAAGGTGTGCGTACCTGCATTGGGGATCCGTTGTCGACTTTGTCAATACCATCACCACCGGCGTTACCGCCGCCCAAGAACGCGGTGAGGATCTTCAAACCCACTGAGAGGAGATTAGCCCATGGGGATGGGGCGATGCCATTGTCGTCTAAACCTTCGGATTTGTTGGGGCCGACGTGTTGACCACCGCCTGGGTTGAAGATCATTTGCATGACCATTCCTTTGATAAAAAAAATGTTTTTTGTTAAATTTACGAAAAATTTTTTTGTGAGATTATTAATATTTTTTGTTTTTGTTTGGAAATGTTAAAAGATAAAATCAAAAAAATGCCTTACCAATAACTTCCTTACCTAATAAGTTGGACCACGAGAAGCCACCAGTAGAATCCGAGATGCTGTTGGTGTTGACATCATCCAAATCATCCAGAGCTACTTTTTTGATGGCGTTTGGTTTTTCGGCGAATTTACGCTCGATGCGTAGCGATGGTAATTGTGGAGTCCTTGACGGTACGAAACTATCTGGATAGTTTGGGTAAGCGAAGGTGCTGATCAAACAACTGCTTACTATAAGGGCGCAGTACGCCCAGCCGGTGACTTGCTTATACATCTTGGAATCTTTAAAAGAAACAGGCGAAGATTTTATAAATTTTATATCGTACTGCTCGGTTAAGAGGTGTGTTTAAGACTGAGACGTGTAAGTTTAACGGTGCGACTCATAGTGTGTGGTGTGTGTGCTCTTCCGAGTTTAATGAACTAACGGTGCACGAAACTGTTACAAGGTCATCGTGCGCCGAAGAGGAGAGACCTAGTGCCCTCCAACCTTCCTTGCAGCGCGTTCCGTACGCGGAGGAATGCGGATTCGAACGCGGAAGAACGATGAAATTTGTTTCAGGTGGAAATTGTTATTGTTTTAAGGACTAGACTTTCATTTTGTTATTTTTTTACAATTATCTATGATTACGCAAGTGTAATTTGTTTTCTTTTTGAAGTTTTGACTTCGAAATAATCTAAATTGTTCTAAATACGCTTTTAAAGAAAACTAGGCCATGATTGTGTTTGTTTCGGTCATTTCACGTCCGATTTAATTATTCCACCTTCTAGAATGTCTTCAGTGCATACATTTTATGCACTATACATTCAACAACACCAAAACGCGTTTGTTTTTTTGTTTTTATGTAAAAATATTAAAATTAATGGCGCTGAAACACAAATGTTTTGTGTTGTGTTGCGCTTTGTGCTTAATTTGCACTCAAGTTTAAGCTCAACTTTGGTCTATTTCGCACGCGTAATTAATCAACTTCTTCCGCGCACTGGTAAATTATTGCTGGAGTGTAAAGAGTGCTTTTTAGTGTTCTTTCACATTCAGCAATCAGCGATCGCGATGATGTTCTTGTCTTAACTGTTATTAACAGTTACTGAACCGAATGCTAATGAACTGTTTCTTTTATTAGCCGCGTCCCGACTTGTCTTCTTGGTTTTTGTTTTGTTTCATAGCTGGTGTTATTGCAATAATATACCAAGTTAGACCTGCGTGTCAAATTCAAAATGGTCGCTTCATGCTGGTTAGGTTTTTATGTATAAATATGAAATTTGTTTATTGTTTTGAGTAACAATCGGACGCGAACAATGCGACAATTTCGAATATGTGCGCGAAACAATGATTCATGTATCATCCATGAGCATGTGCACACGAGTAATGATGATCTTTATTACAGAATAAAATATTACAAAATGTTCTGGTTGGGCGCGAACTTTCACGTTTCCTACATACAAATTTTTCTTCAAAAATTGAATTAAAATTTTATTATTAAATTTAAAAAAATAAATTTTCTTGTTTAATTGACCGAAAATAACGTTACAAAATAATAAACTGCATGAATTGAATTGATGGGTGTGAAAGACCGCAGCTAATTACCATCAGCATCATTAACGGTGATTCTACAACAAATCGAAACTAATTGGAGCGGATTGGACCGCCTGGGAACCAAAACTAAAACCACCATTAATAAAACTACATCAACTACACCGGCAATATATTTTTTTCAATTTTATTTTCGTCACTTCCGGATCACTTTCACTCATATAGGTACGCGCATGTCGAGTGTAAATCATCCGCGTATGCTTCAATTTTAATCTGCACACGTGCGTCGCGGCTTGCTTTCGTTTCGATCTCGATATTTTATTAACTTTTCATCCGTCGAGTGAAAAGTAAAAAAACGAACCTTCAATTAAAACCCAATCAAAACGCGGCTTTGAAATCAAGTTCAATTTCAAGTTCAATTTTACATCATTAGAAAGAAGTGGCTGGTATTTTTACGAGTTGAAAATTAAAATGTGGCCTCAAGTGAAACACCGTTAAATATCGTGTGTATTGAAAGGTAATTTACACCGGCGAGAGAATGTGCGAGCGTCTTATTAATAATAACGTTATGTGTACTTAGGAAGGCTTACAGCAGCTCATATCACTAACTAGCTGTAAGTGTTAAGCTCACGGCGTTTTTTTCTGCGCAAGGCACACAAGTAGCTGTAATTTATTTGATTTGGACGTGTTTGCGTTGGCGCAAGTACGATTTTCGTGTCGAAACAGTTAGAACTCTCTTTATGGTTGATTGACATTGACAAAAGACCCGAAAATTTTGTTACACTTTACAGTTATTAATTTTTTCTTGTTTTTATTTGCAGTTACGTCCAATACAAAGCTCTATGTGAGGAGGATTTCACGGAAAATTAATGGTGAGTGAACATAATACTGAAATTTACAACTGAAAGTCGTCGAACGTGTTTATAATAATGGTCAACAATGAATGAAAATGTCATGCATAAATAGCTAACAACTAAAACTAAGAACCTCTGAAGAGATGCTTATTTTCTCTCCGAGAAAGTTTTCGATTCGTATACTCGTATATTCAATAGCTATTTGTTTATTCATTGATATATCATAAAACACAAAAAACTTGAAGTTGATTGTGTTGGAATGACGAATTTCAATTTGTGTTATTGACACCTAGTAACCTGGAACTCTAGAAGTCGAAAAAGTTTTAACTTGGCTCGAGGCATTTCTTGCTGTCTTGTGTGTTGGCTTTGATATTTTTTAGTGTTTCGTGCGTCGTGCGGCGCAGACAAATCGGCGATTAGCCGATTAGAAAATGAATCATAAAAGAAAGTATTTTTCAAATATTTGTCTCGTATCGTCGAGAGAGAAAAAAAAAACGCACGTACACATCGAGAAATCTAGCGTTAAGCGCTGGAAGTCATTAGCAGCTTTCCTGTCGGCGTGTGTTGCACTTTTATCGATGAAAACAAGATTTGTAGCAAGCGCACAGGAGTAAAAAGTAACATGTGAGCTGTGAGTTTCGCGTGCTGCGTTCTGCTTAACGCGCGTTTGCATGATTTTTCAATTGAATCGAGGTCATCTCGACCATCTGAGAGCTTCGCGACTGCAAAACTTTTACGCGCATGTGTGCACTGCTTACGGTTTGATATTGTAAAGTACGTTAACCTTCTTTTTAACTGATTCATATATAAATTGTATTTTTTTCTTAAATTTTTAATAAAAAATCAATAAAAATTATGATTACTTACCGATTTATTGGAATATTTTAAAGTAATTCACTAAATTTCTATCGTTGCGATGCGTTCGCTTCGACTGCCGACGAAGATGTGCCGCACCAAAGCTCCAATGGACGTGCGGGAGGTAAATGTAAAAGAACCAGCAACAAGTGTACCGATTGCGGTAGGATTGTCAGCACACGGCACTACGTACTCGTCTCTCGACGTGCTTTTGAAACGAAATGGCCGCTGAGATACCTTGAACTTGTATTTATATAGCGTGACCCACTTACCTGAAGGAAGAGATGCACACGCGTGCCAACGACGCAGACGCAATAAACTTTGGGTGGGACGGCGGCAATAAAAGTCTATTACTTTTGCCAACTTTAATTTCTTCATCTTTTGCAAAGACTTCTTCAAAGTTTTTGCATCTTGTTAGCGACTTAAGTCACTTCAAATTTTAAAATATCTTATAAAATTATTGGTTTCGAAAAAAAATTCTAATTTTCATATTTTTGCCATTTCCGCACACTTTTACTCACATTGCTCGCATTATTCATTAGTTGATTCATCTCATGCTCTTTAAGCCATTGTAAATTGTGTGTGTCGTGTGCCATCATTGAGGTCTCTCTCGCGGCTCGCCACCAAACAGGATATGAAACGAAATATGTTGCGGAAAAAACACCTCACATCGCGAACGCAACACAATCGTTAAGAAAACTAGTAGAACATGGCAATAACGCGGCCATCGGCGAATGCAATGCAGCTAATCGTAATCACGATACACCGAATCTCAACGCGCTTGACAAAAGTAAGATACGTGGTTTTTGTTACTCTCATCTGTTCGCAGAAGGATATTAAAATGAGCGCAGATTCGAGGAAAGACCACAAACACGCAACTCCCAATTTCATATAATTCTTCTCAAGATTACTTCCGACTCGTCATCAGGTCATCAGGATGTTTTGATTGTCTTTTTATAAGACACACTTTTTGAACAATTGTATATTTTAGTGTAATTGATTGTAAAATTATTAAATTTCATCCACCTGCGTAAATAAATGCAATTAGGTGTGTGTGCTAACTCGAAGAAGAAAGGTAACAGTAAATATTAACACATTATGTATTTATGTGCTTCAAGTTCAGCGGAAAGCTCGACAGAATGAACAGTAATGTTGTATGTTTTAAACGCAGCGAAATTATCACTTATTAATTTACTTACGGACTTGTTCAGTTCCGAAGTTCGTTGGTGCTTCTAATTTTGGCTTACAAATTATATAAATTACTGTAACAAGTGTTAAAAAGAGTCACACGGGTGTAGGTTGCTCAAGACGGTTAGATTTTAATTAAATGTACTACATAATTACTATTTTTACTTTATTTGAGTGTGTAAAATAGAGATGTACGCACGCAAACAAAAATATTTATAAAAAAAACTTTTATTTGTGGAATTTTAACAAAAAAACTTACAAAAACACAAACAATACTATTTTAATTTTTTTTATTAAAATAATTTCAATATCAACAAATCGAATAAAACCGATCGCATCAAAGTATGCGTTTACAGTTAAACGCTCGTTCGCTCACCGACTCACTGGTCGGGTTTTTCATAAGCTTCTTGCGCTTGCGTGGTGTACACATATTCGCGGTTTGCATCCGTGGCAGTCGTGGACAAGGCTGAAAATTATTCGAAAAGCATCACATGCGTTGATGCGCGGCGCCGAGTGTGTCCGTTATGTCACATAATAAAATGTTTGAATGGTGAATGTGTGTCTTCATTCGCTGGCCCAACTACAACTACATTTATGATATATATCGAGTATCAAATTGGTCCGAGCGATTACACGCCTGCTTGGACGTTTATTTCCTTCGCTTGATTTGTACGATAAGTAATAATTATATGGTTATGGCGCTGGAGAAGATGTGCGATTAAGCTAACAGTTTGTTATTACATCATGGTAGTTTAAAGTAGTTTTTTATTTATTTAAATTATAAATTTGCATAGTTTACGATGTATTTTTTTAAATTTCAATTTTCTCACTCTTTTAGATGTTAATACAACTTCCTCTTCCGTTTTTTGCGTATATTTTGTATGATATTGATCATTATATGAAGTTATCACCGCTTTTGACTTTAAACAATCGCATATTGTGCAATACACGAAAAACAGCCAAATGGTAAATTCCAGTTAAATAATTTACCGCAGTAAAGAAAGTAGATAGACAATGGCGACTAGTCACCATCGTGTTTTCTTGTGTAAAGAACAATGAAAATATGAATGGATAAAATTAAACACGATGAAATAACAAATAAATGACAATGATGAAAATTATCAAACGAGTGCACAAGAACAACCGATTCTAAAGTGAACTAAATGTGAAATTATATAATTTCATACTCATATGACCATCATTTCTATCGTCTACTTTCTTTTATTCTATTATAAAATTATATTAAATTAATTTTTGCAGAGATTTGTTATGTTGATAATACAATTATTATAATAAGTTATTTTGTGCAATTTGCATTGTTTGGCTTTACAGTTAATTTTTCAATTATTAACAAACACAATCGGTTGCAATATATAATTTGACTCTATTGGTATAAATTGCAGAAACAGTTTATTAAATTAAATGTTTGCTTGAAAGCAAACTATATGTACGATTTGTTCTTCCGTGGCGATGCGCATGTGGAACAGAACGTGTAAACACACACACTTATGAATTATTTATTAGTTTGCACTATGTTTTAGTTTAAAAAGATGCGAAAACTGTGAGAAAAGAATTTAAACATCAATTTTTATATTCATTGCACCTAAATTGTTGGTTGCCTATATTAAATCAGATAAATACACGGAAATAACCTTAAAATTTAATTTTCTCATGAAGTATACACAATATTTTTTCGTAATAATAATAAAATTGATTTTTTTATAAGATTTTTGACTTGTCAACGCACAGGATACCTATTATTTCGGTTATTTTGATGATCATTATTAGCGTTATTATTTGGTTCTTCTTGAAAGAATCACGAACCACACAAACCATAATAATTTATAATAACGAAAACAGCAATGGCACTACTCATGGTAATGCTAATAGAAGCACATAACTGTACCCTGTCGGCGAAACAATAAGCCCATCACCTAGATTCCACAAAAATTTAACCATACAAACGCGCCGCGTATCATAATGCACCGTCATAACGTCACAAATGAATGAGGAATGCGAATCCACCATCTCTCATTAGATTTTACAAGATATTTTACTTACAAAGCGAATATTCTAGTTTACATGTGCAATTTTTATAAAATATGACTAATAATAATTTTTCTACTTCCACCTTTATAGCGTCAGTTTTTCCACGGGTATCCACACAAAAAGTGGTACTTTAAACACGGACGGCCAAGGCCGTGACTAAAGTACTTTAAAGCCACAGTTTATCCACTTGATACTTAATATACAATTAATTAACTGATTATATATAATCTAAAATTTGGCAAATGAATTGAACGAATAACAATAATGTCTTCTAAATATGACTAAGTATAAATTTTATGTACAATATAAATTATAATTTTTCTACTTCCAACTTTAAAGCGTCAGCTTTTTCACGGGTTCCACACAAAAAGTGGTTCTTTAAACTTGGACGTCCAAAGCCGTGACTAAAGTAGTGATTAAAGAAGTTTAGCCACTTGATACTAAATATACTATTAATTAACAGGTTATTTATAATCTAATATTTGGCTAATGAATTGAATGAATAATCATAATGTCTTCTACCGTTACTCATCCGAATTATTTTCCTTTGTCGTCGATTAACTATACACAGTCTTATAATAATAATTAATAAGATAAAAATGACTATACTTAATATACTGGTGATGAAATAAATATTTCCTGTTAATTTACTTAGAAAATCCAAGGAATACGAAGCCAGTGTAAGATTTTCTTTTGGATTTTTCGGTTCAGTTTCAAACAAGTCTATTGGACGTTCTGTAGTTCTTCTTCGAGGCTAAAAAAAACACAATTTAATTAGTATTTAATATACTTTAGATACTTTTACATCAACTTACCATTTTTATGTAATTTTTTCTTTTGAACGGAATACTTGCGATGTTTCTGTTAACCAATGTTTTAGATGAGCAATTTAATGTTATACCGTTGACTAGTCTACTTGCATGCTCAAGTAAACGTGATAAATGGCTTATCTCTAGTAAACACACGATATCTGCCCGTATCAGTCAGTTACAACTAATGTAAGTCGCGATATAAATTATATATAAATATAATTATCATAGAAATATGTTTATTATTATTAATATTACAATTTATTCCATTTAAACTTAGCATCTTTCTTAAGTACATTTGTCATGCGCATTGTGTGGTGTTACTCCGAGTCAGCAACAGTATCGACATCTATGAGCGTTTCGTCTTGCGTTGAATCAACTGCGCTGTCGCCTTTGAGCGACTCCTTCGTGTGGCGCCACTTCATGCGGCGGTTTTGGAACCACACTTTTACCTGTGCGTCCGTCAGTCCCAAGGTGGCTGCCAGTTGCCGACGATCTGGCTTGGTAATATATTTCTGTAGTTGGAAACGTCTTTCGAGGCCTTTGCGTTGTAAATTACTGAAAACTGCTCGGGACCAGGAACGTTTTCGTTTTGCTGCTGATGTTGCACCCGCATGATGAGGGGCGGCAACTTGCATTGGCGGTGACTGTGCGGACAATGTCGTTGGAGATAGCGAAGATAATCCAGATAAACGCACTGAAAATAATATTGAATAAATTATAAAATACAATTTAGAAGATCGAATACTTGGAATTATTTTATGTTTAATTTGTTTTACAAGCGATTTATTTGAAAGCTAATTTAACGACATAAATATTTACGCGCTGAGGCTTGAATGAATCACATTCTGCCCTTGTTGCGCACAAAACAGCTCGTTCTTCATTCATAACACGCCTCGGAAGTTGATACATAGTTTTGCGCTGCTTGTTGATAAAGTGGCGTAATATAAATATCTCCAAAATAACTCACGATTTGTTTACACGTCGCAGCCTAATACTGTTTTCTTAATTCCATGTCGCAAGTAAATTACATCTGCTCCACTGCTTCGAATTTCATGTAACATTAGTTGCCTACGAGTCATGTCAATGCTTGGCTAATGTTGGAGTGTTGTAATCGAACATACGAAATTGTTGAAATGTTATTCCACAAGTGTTTTTAACATTTTTTTAAAACTACATTTGTTAATTAATGTTCAGAACACAATTTAAAGAAAAAAACGTAAATATACGTAAAATTACAGTCTCGGTGAATTTTTAACCGATTCATTATAAAATCTTAAAAAAATATTTTCAATAGTTTGCTTATTTTAATGTAATATTGGTTGCATATGTGTGATGTCAACGCTTGGCCAATGTTGGAGTATTGTTTTGGAACATACAAAAATTTTTATTGGAATTTTCTAATTGGAAATCTCAAACATTTAAAGATACTCCACGGACATTTTTAATACAAAACAATTTTTTATTTGTTTGTAACTCTTTAGAAAACACATTTAACGGTTTAAAATTGTAAAAATGTATTTTTCATTATTAAATCAGGTCTTTCTTCTTGTCTTTTTCAATAATTTTGTTTTTTTAATGTAATATTGGTTGCATATGTATGATGTCAACGCCTGGCCAATGTTGGAGTATTCTAATCGAACATATGCAGAATCTGATTATAATTTTATAAGCCTGTTGAGTGATTTGTACAAAGCGCTCTCGGATTGATTGAATTCGTATTTGTTTTCACAATTTCTCCGCTATTTAGTGCCATATTGCATGTGTTTGTTTCCACAATGATCATCGCGCACATTGCAGATGATTCCCACTGATCTTGAAAACAATTTTCGAAATGTGAATTCAACGAATCGCATAATCGCCACTAATTGATTTTCGTGAAATGTTTTTTAATGATTAATAATCCATAAATCGATGATTTATCACCGGCCAGGATGACATAATGATTTAATATCTCGGCACAAGTTACTGCTACAATCACTCGCGAGTGCGTAAATGTGAGCAGGTTTTTTCTCCCGAAATTTTTCGGTAAATGTTTATGTTTCGCGTGCGCCGCGCGGCGATTTGATTTAATTGCCGTCGATAGCTTTTATTGAAAGCAGATGTAACGTGCGCACACATACACTTTGGGAGCTTTTATCGATTTTCGAATATGCTCGCAATATGCTTGAATATAAACACATTTCAATTACCTACTTTCAAAATGTTTATTGCAATGTAATTGCTACAAACTGAAAGAAATTCCTCGCGGAGATTTTAATTTGCTGTAAAAAGTCATAAACCTCAAAAAAAAATTGAGTTTTGTTTACTTGGATCTAATTATTTCGGTCGAATAAATGCAGCGATTGTTTTTGTTTTATCTTCTGTGGAAGCGCGTGTTCTTCGCGTCGTAAACTTTTATCGCTTCTTCTTCATTTTTGGGCTTGCTGATGCTTGTTGAAGATGGGTTTTGAGTTAGTCCTTTGAATTTATTTTCCTTGCGCACGAATCCATCGTGTTTATTGCTCGCCGGCGAAGAGGACGCTAAGTGTTTGTATAATCGATGTTAATAGACGCGCGGCTTTGTTTACGCGTTGTCTATTAGAGAGGGTGCGCATCGAACATTTGGTTTTTATTTCGCTTTATTATCAACAGAACGCGCACGATGCGGTAAACACGACCATTTCGACCATTTATTTATTTTTATGCGATGTGAGAGAGGAAATCTCAATCGTTTCGTCGTTATTCAACCGACATTTTTAATACGAAACTATTTTTCATTTGTTTATTAATGTTCGGAAAGCACATTTAAAGGTTAAAAAGTGGAAAAATACGTAAACAAACAATCACCCCGAATTTGGAACAGTTTAATTATTAAATCAGTTGTTTTCATCGTATTTTTCATCAATTCTGTTATTGAAATACAATGGTAGGTAGTACGAGAGATTCTGTTATTTTTGTGTATTATTGGTTGCATATGTGTGATGTCAATGAATTGCCAATGTTGGAATATTGTAATCGAACATATAAAAATCTCATAATAACTTTCTAACAGGAAATCTCAATCGTTTAAAAAATATTCCTCACACATTTTAAACGAAACTATTTTATATTTGGTTATTAATGTTCGTAAAGCACATTTAAAGGTTAAAAAGTGGAAAAATACTTAAACAAACAATCACTCCGAATTTTAAACAATTTCATTGTTAAATCCGTTGGTTTTCATTGTCTTCTTTATCAGTTTTGTGGTTTTTGTGTAATATTGGTTGCATATGTATGATGATAACGATTGGCCAATGTTGGAGTATTGTAATCGAACATATGAAAAATCTCATAATAATTTTGTAATAGGAACCATTAATGGTTTAAAAGATATTCCACAAATATTTTTATTACGAAATTATTTTTTATTTGTTTATTAACGTTCAGAAAGCCAATTTAAACGTTAAAAAATGTTAAAATACTCAAACAAACAGTGCCACCGAATTTTTTAATAATTTTATTATTAAGTTAGTTGCTTTTCATTGTCTTTTTCATCAGTTTTGTTATTTTTGTGGAATATTGGTTGCATATGTATGATGACAATGCTTGGCCAATGTTGGAGTATTGTAATCGAACATACGAAAAATCTGATAAAATTTTTTTAATAGGAAACCTTAATCGTTAGTCAACTGATATTATCATTTTTTTATTTGTTTATTAAAGTTCAAAAAGCCAATTTAAAGGCTAAAAAAACAAAAATATCTAAACTAACAGTAGGTATAATAACTGAATTTTGAACCTATTTATTATCAAATTAGTTTTTTTGTCATTTTCGTCTTCATTTTTCCTATTTTTTTTACTAAAAAAATTTCTTCCCCATATTTTTTTGTTTTACTCAACATAAAACCAATACCTACATTTTTTATAGAATTTAGTAAGTGGTGTCCTCTAGCGGCCATAAAACAAAATATTTACCTTGTGGTCTTGTGGGATATGGCCGTATAGGAGTAGTATACACATTTCCGGTTGTAAGCACCCCGAGTCCATTAAACCCATGCAGAAAATCATGTCCGTAGGTATTTTCCGGATACGAATCATTATTTCCGCCGCCTCGGATAGCACAACATCTATACATTGAAGTGACACACTCCACACAGGGCACCACGTGTCCATTATGGTCATGCCCGTCGGATTCATGACTCGCACATCTTCCGGTCTCCACACGCTTGAATCCACGTGCTTTTTCATTGTTTTCTGCATCCGGATTACTCGCCAAGAGTCTTTCAATACCAAACTTGAGTTTAATCTTCTCCGGTTTATTGTTGTTGTTATTACTGTTTGTCACACTGTTGGTCACACTATCACTGCTATCGGACATGATGAGAATTTTGATGTTTTGGGTGGTCCTGTCAATCTGAGAGGGTGTAGGGTGTGTAAACACGCGCGCGCGACACGTTTTGGGCGCTACCGACCGGCGTGTTGTGGTAATCGTCGTGCTAATGAAGCGTAATGACTCGCAACACGCATGCGGCGCTTGCTGAACGCGCTGCGAGTAGGCGGAGCAAGGCGGCGAGGCGTTCCAAGGCGCGCAGCTTCTTCCAACCATTTATCTGGCGATTTGTCTTCATCGGACACACACATCGGACCACATGACTTAAGTTAAGTCACATACGCATGCATGTGTTCATAATTTTTTCTGTGCGAGTTATATGTGTTTGATTTTGATGAAGAAAGGATTTTATGGTTTGTGGACTTTGGTTTGCTTAAAAGTTGGAAACGGCGAACGGAAGCGATGTTTGCTTTGTGTCTTTCAACGCCATCGAGACATAAATAAATGCCGAGGTTTATTGGATTAAGGATTAAGGAATGATGAGGAAATTATCGGTGTATACTTAAATTGACTTTCAGCTTGACTGAAATTAAGTTTACTTAAACTTTATTTAGTTATTTCCAAGATATATTATGATTATTGTATTATTGTTTTTTGTCAATTTACACCGCGAGGTGTTCACAGTTTTATTCGTCCTGGCTGGATCCTTTTTGCGCGTACACACGAAGTGTGCAGTGCGCACGCTCCGCCAATCCGCAGGAGGTATACACGGCGTGCAGGTATACCCGACATAAATAATGCTATTAAAGGTGAGGTCCTGCCAGCAGGTGATCGCGCGGCGCGACTCCCGCGGCGAGAATTACTGCCCGAACGAATAACTATATACTTTATTACATACTAATAACGTGTTCACATTAGCCCGACCGACTCATATTCAACAGCGATTAATCACACACCAACACACACATTCAACACGCATATGGTATGAATATGAATCCTCGCCAATAATGCAATACCAATATCGTTTGCAAAGCAGGGTTATTTACACTATACATAACCTCAATACAGAGTCAAACGTAAAATCTACACTTTAAATTAAATTTTAAGGTTATGTAGAATTTAAAACGCTTGGTATGTGAATGTTTATGTGTGATTTGTTTACGAGTCGAAGAAAGAGCGATGCGCAGCATAGATATGCGCATATATGAGCCCTTTCACTACCGACTGCGTAAATTAGCAATCACTTAGCGACGCGCAGGGCTTTGGTGTTTAATGAGCATAACCTCACTTGGGCGCTTTTTTTTTTCTCTCTCTGCGCATGACAACAACGCTTAGCATCAATTTCGCATTGCGCAGTCGCACGACACGCACGCGCGCGAATTATGCACCATGCACGCGATCTGCAAATGCAAACACGGTGGTATTATGCATGTCACTCGCCCGTTGGCATTAATTAACACGGTGGCAACATTTATTTTAATTGACAAATTTCATCTCGTAAATTTCAGCTAATTTGTATTTGCAGTGAATAAAGTTTAGTATTTTATATTGTATTTGTTTTATTTATTGCTCGTTTGCATAAGTTTATTTCAATTTATTTGTAATTTGAGAGGCAACTGTTTGCGCTCATATTAAATCATTTTTATTTATTTTTATCTTTCTTTGTTTTATTTGACATTTATGCAAGAAATGCTGAGTTTTGAACACCTTTTATGACATAATAGTTATGACAGTATCCATTACACAAAACTTATTAGAAAATCTACGATAGTATCATTCAATCAATAACCAATTGGTGAAGATAATCGAATTCGATATCATAGGAAACATCGGAAATCTTCGATATAAATAATATTAAGTTCTATGTGTGTGCGTGTGTTCTAATGGAAGGAAATCAGCGTGAAATCCGAAAAACGATGCGAGGCACCGCGTCGCCTGCGCTTTGGACAATTTACATTTTTATGAGGCCCCGTCACAAGAGCCCCACGAGCGCAGCGCCCAGCGCGCCACGTGATTTATTTATTGCGTTTAATGGCTCGTTTAAATAACGCTTAAACACATATACGAATATCGATGCGACGCTTTTTTATTGCGGCGCGCGCGCGCGCACAGCGTTTATTATATTTCTTATTAATCACGCATCTTCGCCATCAGGAGGAGGATATCTCCTGCGCGCGCTTTATTAAATCATCGAGCGTGTCACATCGGCAAACGCGACGTCACAAATCGAATTAAAAGTTCGTGCAGCGTGTGTGTGTTGGTCAATCGCGAGTGGTTTATGTCTTTCGGGGCATTCGACACGTCCACTTCGTGCGCGTTCGATTAATTAATTTACATGCGATAATTGTAAGCAACTCGCGATCGTAAATCATTATAATTGGCATTTGCATGGAGGTAATTTTACAGGGTTACCAAATTTACTTAAAATCTTACTTAAATATTGCTTAAAATACAAATTTTTGTTTTTTTACTTCTAAAATCTTTGTTTTTAAGAAAATAATAAAGAAAATTTTAATTTACGAACAAAAAGCAGGATTTATTTGTTGTTTAGTTTAATAATTGATGTAACTGTTTTTTTCTTTGATAATTAAATGACATTCAAGCATATTTTTTATTAAAGTTTCGTGGGAGAATCAAAAATGCGTTATTTTGTGAATTTATTTAATTTTATTTTGTTTTAGATTTGGGAACCCCTGATTAAACAAGAAATCTCTTAGCTATAATCAAAGTTTATTAATTTATGATATTATTGACTAATGACATAATGAACGCAAAGTGATTAAATTTATTTCTACGTCTTCTACTGCTTAGTCTTTAGCATTAGCGCTTGAATGACGAAATAAAAATTACAACGCGAGGTGAGGTCCGCCGAGGTCCATCATCATAAAATTCATAAGTCACCATCGCGCACAATGCTCGTCCTATTAACAAAACGATGAAAAAACTCTCCTCCACACGTTGAGTACGCGCACAGCGCTTAAGTTTGTTAATTTCGCGCTCGAGTATAATTTCCACATAATTTACGAGTTGGAAACGACTGTTTATTATATTTCGGTGGACAACCGGACAGAGTACAAGTTGATTAAGGAAATATAAGTCCGAGGCGCTCGTAAATTGTTTGCGAAACGCAGCGAAACGTAAGAAAAACACCTTTTTATTAGTTTATCTCATCGGGATGCGGCCGGAATCGGAATGCGTGATGGTATGATTAGCGCGCGATTAAAGACGCTGGTTTGTAATTCGATAATTTAATGGTTTACTAATATTACCGGATTTAAACCGAGTGTTTCAATTTGTTATTACCGCATGTGCGGTAAACTATTTCTTGGAAATAGTTTGTGACGCTGATTATTTGCTTTAGATAAGTATTTGACAATGCGTTTGGGCAATTTCACGCAAGTGTACGCATGACGTCGGCGTGGCGGCAATTAACAAATTAGCGCAAAAATGTAATGACATCATGGCCGAATTACCGAGTTAAGCTTCAAATTTATGCGTACTCGTCGGGTGTTTTTTACCGTTGTACTTTACGCAACAAGAACTATGCACAAACCGTGATTAGTATTTACGCAGTTTTATGCGTTTTCGGCGGAAAGCAAATTTGGCCACACGCATGCGTCTTTGAGGAAGTTTCTTGTCGAGGTGATTTAAGCCCAGTGCGCACGGGAGCTCGTAATCTTACTTTTGACGTCAGCGACGGATTTATAAGCTTAATATTGATTTATGTTTTCTTCATTATTTTTTATTTATTTATTTGCATCCACTACAGTTGAAAAAAATTAAAAACTGATTTTTACAGCTTACTTAGTAACTTCACGACCTTACTTAGCTGAAACAAACAAAACGTTTGATAAAATCTTAATTATACTAATGTATTATTTCCTATGTGTGTTTTTTTTATATCTAGTGTATTATTAACATAACTGTATGACATTTTGCGCACATGAAGTGACAAGAATAATTATACTTTAATTTAGTTGTAAATTAATTTTTAAAAATATTTTTCATTTTTTAATATATTTTAATTATTTTCAGGTGTAGCCACCTCTAAAAATGTCCACAGAAGAATATAAAAGGTATTATGAACGAAATGAATTATTTTTGTATTTTTTGTAATTGAAAATGAAACTGCACGCGAAAAAAGAGAAATTGCCATCACGAAGCGCCGACCTTAAAGCAACCTTAAGCAGAAAATTGTCATTAAAGATTTAATAGCCCACATAATTTGCTTTCTCGTGTCTCGTCTGCGGCCGTCGTGAATATGAATAATCACATGCGCACGTTCCATCATTAATTTTATTAGGACTAGATGCATCCTTCGCATGATGACTGCTGAATACTTTCTTTCTCAACTAGGTACTCTCCATGAAACTGAATTTATTTTATGCTTAACAATGCAAAAAATTAGCCTGAAAATAAATAAAACTTAAACTTAAAACTTATTAAATTTTGTTCCACTTTATACACGAAAATATTTGAAAATGTTGGTGGTATGTAGATGCGCTGCGCCTTCTCGTGTTGCATTGGATTTAAATTTGTTTTGAAGGCTGCGTGCGTATCGCTGTCATAAATATACTGATCCTGGCGTGCGACCGACCGGCACAATGCTGGAAATATCACTTTACACTTTATTGGTGGCGTTTTATAATCGGTTATGGTATGAAACGCGAGGTAATCTAGTGTTATTGTGTTTGGGAGTGCGTAATTACTTGTGCTCATACTTTTCAATCATGTAATAAAACATTCAATTGTTATTTTTGGCATTGTGTGATATTTTCATACCGGAAATAGAATTATATTACCTACTAATTCAAAATTTTAGTAATTTATATAATAAACACCAAAAAATCACTTAAAACATTTATTTTTAAAATTACAATAAATATTAAATATTATTATCTTAATCTGCGAGGTAATTTAACAATTAATCAAGCTGTTATTCACATGCATATCATAAATATAAATATAAATAATTTTTGAGCCCTCAACTAGCATCTACACACACCAAAATTTGTTTCCACATGTTTCAGAACTAAATTAAGTTAATTAACTACATGAATGCGTCCCTTGTTGGTTCTTCGTGTAGCCACCTACATCTTGGTTGCATTCCGGGCACAATATTGTTCGTTCTCGTAGCATTTGCATGTCGCCGAGCGCGGGAGAGCGTGCACGCAGAGAGTTAAAGTGTAACATGACACGAATAGCTCGCGATCGCTTCGGTTCGGAGTAAATTACTTAGAAATGTATAATTGTCTGATTGATGCGGCGGTAGTCGACGGTGTGGTAGCGCGTGTACGCCTCGGACAGGCTAACCAGAGCGTCAAGCATCGCCTCTGCGTTGACATGCGGCGTCATGTCCACGGTAGGCCCGTCGAAATTCAGCCCACCTTGGTTTTCGTACACGGTGCGTTTCTGGCGTTGTGGACGGCGGATACGCACTGGTCTTCGACGACGGCGGCGACGTCTGGCAGCCGTCGTCACTGGAGCTGCTGTTGTTTGTTGGATGACAATAATCTTCTTGCTGTGGCCTTTGTCCTTTAGACTCTGTACGACGAGACATAGGAGATATCCACCGAAGGCTAGGAAGGCTAATGTGGTGATGGACATTTGGAAAATTGATCCAATGCCTTTTTTTCCTTTTTCCTCTGCTTCCCAACCGCCTCGATTTAGGGATGTGCTGGTTTTCGATCGTGGTTTTGATCTTCTTCTAAGCGCCATAGCGACTGGACCCGAGGAGGTATTCCCACGTGACTCCATTTCTTCAATATCTTCTGATTCGTCTTCATCTGGGATGTCCACTGATGGTAACTCAAACTTGTTTTTGACACTCAATAACTGATCGATTGATAGTTCGCTTAAGGTTCTGATGTCGTAGGAATTTGAGAAGTCCTGTGAACTTGCGATTTGTATCACGATTAGATAGCATGTTAGCCGCGCGCCGCGGAGCATCTTGCATCGGCTCCAACGAGCGTCGGATCGCAACTAAACTCATTTTTCGCGAATCCGCGCAAGCATGGCAGAAGATACCAGAGCACACATTCATTTCTTGGGTGTCTTCATTTCTATCCTCTTCTTGCGAGCGCTTTTTGCTTGCTGTGCGCGGTGTGTTGAAAAAAGAGGAGCAATTATCCACGTTGACATGGAAAATTATCGAAGCTACTTTACTCTTCTTTACTCTTCGAACAAAAGTAATTCGCCGTCGGTGTGTTGTCGCACATGACCTACCAAGAATACTCAGCCAAGCATGTGCATGTGCTTTATCTCACTCACTTCTTTGTGTGGATGCGCGGGTTGTTGTACAGCGGTTTGAGTTAGTCGTAATCTGTCTGTCGCAAAATGAACATCAGGACGTTGGCGATATTTCTGCTAGTAGTGTTTTGTATTGGTCCTGAAGTAGTCAGAGGAGATGAAGGAGTTTTTGGGAAGATTAAATCAGGATTTGCTTACGCTGGGAAGATTCTTGGTTTGGATCGGGCTAGTGAGGTGGCCCAACTTGTCAGTCAAGCATTCGGAGGAAGATCCGCTAGGAAAGGAGATACTGGAGACCCTGGGAATACATTATTCAGTGGGTTCCTGAGGGTTTTAGGGTTTGATACCAAAAGAATTGGAGCTATTGCAGTTAATGCAATAATCTTCATCGCACAAATTGTAAGTTTAATAAAATAACATCCTCCTAACTTCAATACTGATTATTTTTTAGATAAGTACATCATTAGCAAAACCTCCCCCGGCTTTTGTCTCCTCTGAAAGAAATTTTGATGGTACACCTCTGGATTGGATGCTGGCCAACTCCCAAGTACAAAGTTATCTCTCCCACGCCAAAAACAAGAACCTCCCTAATAGAATCATCAATTATCTTCAAGATGGCAACGAATATCAGAACACAGGATGTATCCAGTTGTTGATTTGTAAAAGTGCTCCTTTCATCTGGGGAATGCAACGCGCCCTCAACGCCAAAGGCAAAAATATTAAAAAGGGTAAAGCTGTGTTGACAGAATATCTGCCTACGTATGATGAAATTGCTGATCATGGAGATGCTTGTGAAGTTAAGTATCCTCATTGTAAACTTTACATTTAGGAATATATTTAATTAATTTATTTATTTGACGATTAACGTATGTGGATAATAAATATCTAAGTAATTATTTGGCTTGTTTTTTCACTCCTATGAAGTATTCTTCTTCCTCGCGGCATAATCGGAGTTTGTCATGGGATTTTCCTGATTTTAAGTCACAGATCATTTGAAAACGGCATTTGTTTTCTTTGCATGATGGTCGTACTGGACTTGACTTGAAAAAATATCTAAAAAAATTAAAAATCAATAAAAAACAACAAAAACAAGAAAAAACATTTTTATTTTACCTTTGAAATTTATTGAAAACTTTATCATCAATAATCATTTGATTGACAAGATTTGACCAATCTGCGGGACGTAGTGTTCTCATACCATAATCAGCTCGAGCTGTATATAATTTCCTCCAATTCGTTGGGGTTTCTTTAGGGGCGGAATTTGCTTTATCCAAATCAAGAATCCACGTCTCATGATCGATGACTTCCTAAAATTAATTTTAAAAGAAAGTTTTAAGAATTTAAAAATTCAATTTTTTAATGTTTTAAATCGCGTTGTAGTCTTTCTGGCCTAGTTCTGAATTTTGCTGAGCAATGTCACAAAACTAGATGCCCATGCGGGTGTAACTCATTAGCCGCGCACGAAATACACTTTATAGAAATGGAAACATATGGAAACTCACTCTCAACGAGCTTGGATGATCTCCATCAACATAATAGATCCGATAACCAGGATTCAAATTTTCATACGTGGTCACTGATGGGCCAATATAGGCTATAGCAGTTGCTCTACCTGAAAGCTCAACAAAAAATCAGGTAAGTGATGCAATTATATCATACGCAGGTTCCAAAGATGACTGCTAATAATAGTTATTATCAACTTGTTAGTTAATATCCAACGAGTGGAACAATTGTCATTTTGTAAAACAAATTATGATCAAATGATTGCGTTTCGCTTTGAAATCAAGACGTAACAACGCCGCAGTCAATTTGAAAGAAACCGTAAGACATCATCTCAAAAGTGTGTTGACTTACTGGTGAACTCATCATCGTAGAACAATTCAAACTCGTCATTGTGCGTATGCCCGAAGAACTGTGCCACGACGGTGTTGCGGAATCGGTTGATAATATCGTAATAGTTCTTCGACCATACTTTGATGCAATCGCCGGCGCCGGGTGGAATGTGACCTGCGAATTGTTAAAGCACCATCATCACAAAAATCGCGACGCGTGAAGAGACTTGCCTATGATGTGCACCTTTTCGTCATTGCTTTCAGCGGCAGTCAGTTCATACACGAGCCATTTGAGCTCCTTGGCCGGATCGGTGCTGTTCAACACCAGCCACCTAATCGAAAACGACAAAGCAGATAGAAACGATGCGCTCATTAGACACAATCTTACCAGCTGAAAGCGTGGCAATAGTTCATGTTCAAGGAGATGAGACGAAATTTTGGCCGGATTAGCACCGAATAGAAGCCGCCGTGGATTAGCGTCGTGTTGGTTTCCGGCGGCAGCCATTTTGCCCACTCGCGGGAAACTGCTTCGTAGACCCAGTCAGCTGATTGCGTTTGGGCTTTCATCCATGGCGGTGGAAAACTAATAAATTTACAATAAATAAATAATTAATCATGCAAGTCATTGCTATAAATATGCAATATCATCATTAATAAACAAATATTTAATATTCATTGCGAGAACTTGTCGGGTTTCGGGTTTTACGTGTTTTATTTAGTACACATCTTGTCGAGTCATGTTTGAAATGTTGAAATCGTGTTAAAAAAAGAAATGAACCGGTGAGAAACCGCAAGGTGATCTTGAAAAATATGTTTACAAGAGCATGTTAACAATTCTAACAAAAGTGAAACTTTTTTTTTGTATATTTTTTATCCTAAATATAAAGTAAAACAATTTGTCGCAGTAATTATCACCTAGAATGTCGCAAATCGATGTGTATTAATTTTTAATAACATGTTGTTCATTTCGCAGTTAATTGCGCACGTTTGATTGACTCAACTTAATGACAGTGACCAGTTTGTTCACTTATCGATGCAATGGAAATTTTGAATGGTTATATTGATGTTTTTAATATTCATGTTCATACCAAAGTCTAAGTGTACTTGAGAAAGTGTATATTAAACGATAAATTGTCAAAATTTCCAATTATCACACTTAATATACAATAGAAAATTATTTTTAGCAAAGTACGTACTTGCCTGCGGGTACACCTTCGTGATTCCCCAAGGTCGGGAAAATTGGCACGCCTGGAAAAGCCCCAACTAAGTCCCCGATTGTGTCACGAATATTTTCTAATGTTTGTTGTTTGGTTTGACGCCATATGTCATGCGGGGGAATGTCCCCGGTCCAAATAATATAATCAATGTCCTTGAAATTGAAATTTATATAATTTTACATTAATTATAATTAATTTTTAAAGATATTACATTATGTTTCGTTGAGATGTGTTCCAACATGTTATCTATGAGTAATTTCGGTGTATCACATTTTAAATAAGATCCATATCTTAAAAAAAAGTTTTAAAAGTTTTATTAAAAAGATTTTTTAAATTTCTATTTGTAATACCTTCCAGCAGTAACAACACTCTCATTTTTCATCGGAAAACTACTAAAATTACGACAACATAAAGGTTCCTGGCAGTTGGCAACACTGCCCTCTTGATATTCAGGATCATAGTGCGTGTCGGACAGATGCAGGACTTTAAACACCGGTCCATCCTCCTACAACCACAATGCCCATCTAATATCCATTAAATTCCACTCAAAATATGTAATCAACAAAAATCACACGCATACGGAAGGTCACCTCACTCGGATTACGCAACAACACCGCGAATATTGTAGTAATATCGTAATAATAATAGATAAACCTATATTAGAATGGCAATTAGTTGTTGGCTGGTGTGTTACTGTATAGGAGGTAATTGTACAATGTACGTGTAATTACGCGCGGTTTGTTTATTAATTACAATTCTAGCATTGTGGTCATACGTACCGGAGGTGGAGGCGAATCCCAGATATCGTAATTGTAATCGTTGTTACTCGCGTGGAAATCGCGCTTCGGCTCCGGTGGCAACTCAATATGCCAATCGTGTGTTGGATTATCAACAAGGCCGCATTTTTCACCCAGTAGCAATGCGCAAATCTTCTCTGAGCCTAAATTTAATAATTGTAATTAGCACATTTACGCACGCAACTTGCACAACAAACAAACAAATAAGTTTTGTTTAACTAAAACTATAAATTATTAAAAATTAAAAAAAATTCTTAGAATGTTTTTCCATGTTTTTAAAAATATTATTGCCAATACAAAAATAACTATGATAAATATTATTGCAGACGTTAAATATGCAAGTAGTTATTTTTTTAATTAGTTGCATTTAATAAACAGTCACTTACTGAGCGTGCATATTTTCAAAGCGGGCAAAACAACAGGTCCGTAGGTATCAAACATTCCAGAACAGACAACTTCGACGGCGATGTTCAGCGACACACAAACACCCACAAATTTATCTTTCAAGTCTTCGATGGTCGCGTTCTCATTGTTGACTTCGCCTCGCATCAGTGTTATACCTGTAGATGTGTTGAATGTTGCAATATACGCTTGATTATATTCTTTTACTTTAATGTTAAGGCCACTTTACGTAACACCTAAGATTGAGTTTTAATGGAAAGATTACCTAATCGGCAAGAAGCACAAGACAGTTTGGATGTGAGCGTCTCGAGCTGACTGTGCAAACCATCAACATCTTCATCTTCATTTTCATCTAATTCTTTATTCTATAAAAATATTTTTTAATTTTTTTGCTAAATTTTATTTTGAATAATTACATCTTTAGTTTTTTGAGGCAGTGTGTGATTTTTCGCATTCCCAGCTTGTAAAATCGGTTCGTTGTGTTGAAGTTGTTGGTAATCCCAAGGATCATCAAAGTTCTCGATCGTAATCGTTTCGATTGGTGTTGCATTCACTTCACTTTCATCTGTTAGTATTGTAATTAACACTAGAAATCCTAACAGCACTAATCGCGTACACATAGTATTATTATGATGATTAGCGCGCATTTTGTGTTACTAGCATGACCGATTCGCGACCCGACGCGATGCAACAATTAGCCGCGACTGACCTGGGAGACAACTTGCCGTTCTTTATTATTGTCGATTTTTTCCCAACTTTTTGTGACCCAAGGCTAACTACTCACACTCTCGCAGGTCGCATCGGACTTAGCCATTAAGCACGCCGTTGGTATTATTACAGCTAGTAATGTGATCGTGTTCGGAGACATAGAATAAAATTAACGAAATTTGTTTTTAAATTTTTTTGATTTTGAGTTTTGATGTTTGCTGCTCAGTTGCAGGCGGCAACTGATGAACTGCAATGGAAATTGTAACTCACTCACGAACAGGACAAAATCGTGCAGGAAGCTCTTATCAAGATCGAAACTAATACAAGTTTAATGCATTCCGCATTGTTTGGTAACATTAAACACGGCGCAACTTTAATTGACTTAAATATTTATATGAATAAAACATTGGGTATAAACAACGCTATCTAAATTATGCAAATCATCATTTGATGCTACAATTGTTTTTGGCTCGGAATAGTAATCATGATTAATCAGTAATCGGTAAGTAATAAATATGTGGATTGTTTTTAGGTCGACTATTCTGTTTGATGAAAATGTACCTGCTGCGTATTACATTACGTTGCTTGAATGAACTGCAATTAATTATGATTAGGTTGCATAATTCTAGGAAACTTTGAACAAAAAGTGCGTTTTGTGCGATGTGCAAACCGCACTAGCATTGCAAACATACTAATTATTAATTGCAAACGTCATAAATAGATAAACAGTTGTTTCACTGATGTCACATGAGACAAAATAATTACAGAAATTATGATTTATTGTGCCGAGAAACCGCAAATCACGGATATCTTCTAGACTATAAGCACTAACAACTAACGGATCGAAGTCTATGAATGTTCAGAAAAGTATTTATAGGAAAAAAAATTCAGAAATCATCTAAAAGTACTAATTTTCTAACTTTTTTTAAATGCGTATATCTCGCCAAATAAAGACAATAGAGAGGAACGGATTAAAATTTCTCAATCTACGAGAAATGTTCTATTATCTAAGCTATTCGGTAGATAAGGCATTCACTCTGCATTCACTCTCATACTGTGCTTTGTTTTCAAGATTTATTCGAGAAAACGCAATATATCTCTGGTATCAATGAGATAATTTTGGGTTTTAAAACGTAATATTGTAGTTTATCATTTGTAGATTTTTCGTATGTATTCCACCCTCGAAAGCTTCCAAAAGTGCTCTAAAATGCCCTTTAAAATGAAATTTTTTTGAATATTTTCTGCTTTGTAATGGAAAACATCCTATATCTTTTGTGCTAAATGGGTGATAGAAATATATGCTACGTCATATTATACTCCAAAGGACCTTATATCACATGGATACATATTCTATCATGTATCTTTCTGGGAATATTTTAAAATATACATCAAAAGAGCTACTTATAATCTTTCTCAATAAATTTTATTTTTGATCGAAGAATAACGTCAAATCTTTTTTTCCTAAAACTTTTTTTTTCAGAATGTAGAAGAAAATGTGATTTTGAATACTTTATCTTAATAAATTTTGGTTCTATTATTTACCATTTTATTAATAATCATTTTATTTTAATTCGCGTCTGTGCGAATTCACACATTTTTCGTTAAACTGGTCAATGGGCCGAAATGATCAGTGCTAGTATAAAATTGTTTTGAAATATTTTATAATTGAAATTTAACAAACTATCAAAATCCGAAATCAGAACTTGAAAATTTAAATTTTTAATTTTTGATAAAATAATGAAAAGTATTGCCATTTTTATGGCCAAATATTTTTACGGTTTAATGATTTTTATGACATAAATTATGAAATTCTGAATTTTTTTTATTATAATAAATCAAAACAGTGCAAATTATGTATTATAGTAAATTTTATTTCTACAATCATTATTCACAGCCCTATTGTCGCAGGAATTGATAAAATCGAATTCAAACCAAATTTAGCGTATACCTCTTAAACCAAAAGTGTAATTAAAATAATGTACCAAAATATTTAATTCATATAATTGTGCTTTTTCATATTCATCTATAAAAACTTCATTTTTTTAAATTTTTTGTGCCAATTTAAATAATTAATTTAAATGTGGCGGAGGTGCCGGCCGGGGTTTAGCAAATTGTACAATTTATTTTTAAAAGCTAATAATACCATTGGGTAGTAAAACTTGTAATTACCTTATTTACCAAACTTGCAACTTAATAACTTTAATCGTTTACCAAAGCAAACGCTTGCATTGATTTGCCATCGTTTTAATAGAGTACCGTTTCACAACGATAACTTGTGAGGGTATAGCGTACAGTTCAGTGTTTACTTTGCTTATTATTATTATATACTGTTAAATAACGTATACTTGAAGTCCGATTCAATCATCAAATATCTCAAGAACTAATAAAGATAATCAAGAACTGAAAAGTACATTGCATTTTGCAGGCGATACTGCAAATTTTATTTTTTTGATATTCTTTGCACAAAAAGATTTTAATAAAAAGTGTGGCCCCGTCTTTCGATTGAAAACAATTTAACAACAATGAACTTACTGAACCCAGTTTCAGTAAGCATTTTAGGGTAAATACAAAAGATTTAAAGAATCAGAAAAGCACTCACATAATAAATAAACAATGTAACTATTACGGTATAACAATGATGCAGAGAAATTCGAAATAAGCCCATTGGTACAGCAGACACAAGTAGATTTCCACACCAAGTTTTAAAACACTTCCTAAGGCGTTAGAATGGCGAAAATGTATCACATGGCAATGAAATAATGCTGAAATATTGCAAAGAAAACATATTAGAAATAATCAAATGTGATTCGTCCAAAAGAAGGCACATTCAAACCCCGTTTAGTTCTCAATTTATTTTCCTAATACATTTCCATTAAGAAAATAATTAGCAGGTTGCAACAACAACAATGTTACATCGATAATCTAAGCGGACGCCATAGGGTCCTGTTTATATTTTAATCATTATTATTTTATATACACCTGATTTTTATATATACAATAATATCGATAACAAACGTAATCTTTTCGAATAAATCATAGTTAATAAACATCGTACACATGCGTCTAAACAGAACATATAATCGCACTCGCTTCGACACAGTCACTTAAAAAAATATATACCAATATCATATATAGTTAAGTATGTATACATTCCTTATAGGTTTCTTGTAAATTAATTAATTTTTGTTTAATTACGTACGTTCTGCCGAGAGGAAACACAATCCCTGCTACAATCCAGCATCCAGGGATTGTTTTCCGTTAAAAACTAAAAGTCAGTACATTGTCGAAATGCACAAGAGATTGCACCTAATAATACGCCTAATAAAATCTATGTATTCGCGTTGGGGGAAACAATAAAATCGTCCTAAGTGAATATTGCCATTGCTTCGCTTTGTTCAACAACTGATAGGAATGCGTCGAGTAATAAAAGTGTACAAACAGAGCGCGTTCATCATTATTTTTTTTTGTTTAGTATTGTTCCTAACATCGAATTTTAAAGTTTAGTTTTGTCATGCCAGTGAGAGCTCATTGATGTTGTATATGTTTACGGTAATAACACGGTTTGAAAGTCTGCATTGAAATGTTTCACTACAACAACATCGTCTCGCTTACAATTTCTTTGTAGTTTATATAAATTTGAGTTAGTCGCGCACGATCAGTGCGTCAATAAAAGGCTAGGCAATATATTCTATGATCGGAACAGATAACACACTTGTGTAATGCTTTTATGCATCTCCTCCCGTTTTAGGTTTTATAGCTTTTCGTTATAGTCCTCATCGTAGCTCTGCGCGCTATAAATCCGTGGTTTTTATTTATTTACAGTAAACTCCTTATTGCCGACCTCCAGTGTTAAATATGTAACTATACAAGTAGCTCGTAATCATAGTAATAAATAGTTTCTCTCGTTTTGTGTTTTATCTCAACATGTTTTCTGTTTTAGATTTAATTAAAGTCGCGGGCCAGCAGCGAAAATCACAGCACTCATGTGATGTTTGTTTTTTGTTTCTCTGTTTTGTTTTTAGTTTGTGTGTCGTTCCGATGGCAAACTCAACGAATGCATACAGTTGAAAAACGTGGAGTCTCGAATTTAAGATTTAATCATTATTGATATGCGTCATTATAGGAAACGATTACGGCGACGCTGCTACCGTTTGCCGCCGGACGACATTCCGAACGACTAGCACCTCAAGATTATAATTTTTTTTTGTTACGCCCGTTTACTTATTTCGATCGAATACGTATTGTACTTCTTCTGATCTGCTTCCCCTCTTCTGCTTGTCGACGAAGCAAACAAGTCCAATTATCGATAAGAACAAAAACACGCACGCGGCTATCATTAAGTAGAATGCATCGTAGAAAAAATTCGAAATTTGTTCAACATAGAGTTAGGGGTTTCTACACGATTTTCTCGACATTCGCCATCAACTAGAGTGCCTTCACCCACGCTGCCGGTACCCATTGCGGTTCGCGCTCCAGGCTGTTGATCTCGCCGAGGAGATTCTGATAAGCTCGCTCTGTGTCATTGTTGATGATGATCATGTCAAAGAAGTGGCCGTATTTGTCTTCCATTTCACGCGCCTTTTCGATTATATCCTTTAAATCTTCCTCCTAAAAACATTCATTCAAATAAAAACAATCAATTCTTTTAAATTTGACGTTTGAGTTAAAATTATTTACCTTATAAGTTTCCCCAGTGCGTATCTTTTTCTGCCTCAACTTCTCAAGACTGGGCGGGGCAATAAACACCACGTATGGTTTTAAATCCGAGGTCCTCAAGATCTTCAAACTCTGCGGATGGAGATTGAGCACGCAGATCTTGCCGGAATTGACCACTGATCGAATGGCGTCCAAAGAAGTTCCATAATAAGCTTTCTCGTACTCGCCGTGTTCCACAAACTTCCGCGACAAAATGTCCGCTTCAAATTGAGCACGTGTTATGAAATGATAGTCTTGCCCGTCGACTTCGGTGTCTTTTCGAGCTCTTGACGTATCTGAAAAGTAAATAAACACAATTTATGTCGATCCGAAAAAATAAATAAAAAAGGTAAAAATAACTTACGTGGTATTGCTGCAGCGAATCGTTCAGCGTCCTCCATCAATTTCTGACGTAATTCGTGCCTTCCTATATTTGGTGGTCCTATGAGTACAATCGGTCTCTTATTGTTTGCTCGCGGATAATACAGTGACACTTCTTCGTAAGTTAAAATTTCCTCAGGTTCAAATTCTAAAAATAAAAAAATCGATGGATATTAGATTTAGAAAATGATAAACAAGTTAAATTCGTACCATCAACTGCATTCGAATACATTGGATATCCAGATTCGGCGTATGAACCCTTTTTCTTCTTCCGTTTTGCAGTTTTACCGCAGAGTAAGGTGGTGGACTTACGCTGCGGCTTCGACATGCGTTCCTCGGCCGCTAGTCTCATACTCTCTCGTTGATGCTGGAAGCTCTGTGACGGTACCAGTCCGGCGAGCGTCTGGTCCTCCTCCCCTTCGCGGTACGCCTGCCACCAATTGGGGTCCTCTTGGCTGATGATGTGCAACACGTCACCTTTACGAAATCCGATACCCAACTCACGACATGGAATATACATGTCTTCTTCGGGGTCATAATCAAAATGGGCGCGCACGTGCAGCAGCGACTCGCGACTAGAATGTCGGCTGCCGGGTGTCGCCGGCACGATGAGGAACGTTAGGGTGCCTTCCATCGCCGCCAAAATATCACAGACTGCGTTCACACTCTTTCCACGCATCTCGATGCCGTTTACCTCTAGAATTTCATCACCTTCATGCAGCAGGCCGCTTTTATCAGCTGCGCCACCACGGACAACTCTACCAACAACCACAGCATCACCTTCATTCCGCACGGTTGCACCCAAGGGTTCAGTGCTCTTTTCAATCTTGACAATTTTGATATTGTCATCTCCATAGTGCTCCGGCAGTGCTGTTTTACCCGCAATGGTTGAATTGGTGTCCACTTGGGCAGGCGAAGACACCGGTGAGGTGGAGTCTTCAGGTAGGGCGGATGCCACACCATCATGAGCAATCATCAGCGCCTCAAACTCATATCCCGTGAGGAGGGCAGCGAGTTCAACAGCGTACGCGCCTTGAGACGCACCCAATGCATCCAGGCAATCACGGAGAGCACTTTGTGCGTTCGCCGTTGGCCTGGGCGCAGTCCGATTCCTCACCGTTTGCACTTTATTATGTATAGCCAGTGCGCGACCAAACTGCGGTGACAAAATCAACGACTGCACTGCAGCAACACGTCCTTCCAATCCACCCAATCCACCACCAGTACCCGCTTTCTTCAACTGCAATTGCAGCCGCTGCACTGAAGCCACCAACTCTCCATAGCCTAAATCAAAACATCAAAACAACATTACCAACTCATCCAGATACACTTCCGGTTGACTCGTTTTTGTGTGCGCGCCGGAAGGAAGTTCATTCCGAAGCCATTCATATACAGAACAATGCTTACCGTATGCAGCGTGAACAAGTTCCTTATCCGAGCTGGGCGTCCCCGGTCTGGAGGTAGACTCGCGCCGGCTGCTGGAGACGGTAACATCGTCATCGACGGAAAACGCCTCGTTGTCCGCCCCCTGTGCCTCTCGACGACTCTCCAACGCATGTAGCTTACGCGAATCGCGTAGGGACGTGCGCAGGAATTCATTCTGCGCGGCAATTCGGTCCTCATCCTCCTTCCGCTTCCTGATTTGTTCCTTTAATAACAAAATACACTAGTTTAACAAACAAAAAAATCTCTCTGCGAAAAAGGGCATCAGCATCGGAATGTCGGCGACAGTGCAAACATCCGTTAAATAGTTTATTAGCAAATAACCACCGCGCACAATGTCGCAGTGAACTCTGAACGAACCAAAAGTGGAAGGTTGCAGACACCGTTATCAAATATGTACGTGCCTCTTTAAAACATTCTTTCGCCTATAAAATATCATTTGCATGAGCCACTCGGTTGCGCAAGCCTGGCGATATTGAAGGAGTTTGCGCGCGCGAAAATTTATTACAAAGTCGTGTCGAACGCCACGCCATTTAATCCCTAATCGCCTCGCGAGACGTGTGCGCTGCGACATGCGTTCGTTATTACCCTTTAAGATATTGTTTATTTTAAATTTATCGTTGAAGAACTCCCAGCGTAATCCCACAACGAGAGAAAATTCCACTTTCTACAAAGTTGCGTTTTCACATCACACGCGTATTCTAATGAATTGCATAAAACTACAACAAGAAAAAGTTAATTACGACTCATAATAGGCAAGTCCCGATCATCTTGATTAAAATATTTCACACGATATCTAATTTGAAGATTTATTTTACATAGGTTTAGCTTTCCCTTTTAGATTTTATTTACATGGATTGAGCGAACGTGTGCCCCAAAGAGAAATGCATTCGACGTAATTAAATTGTTAATCTAATCAGTGCGAATGGCAATAATTGAGCTGATTAAAGCCGCTTCGGGCAGAAAGTCGTTAGTTGCGCCGCACAAAATCGCAAATTAAATTATATCGGCACAGATTTCAAATGTGACCAAGTAACCAGGTGAAATAGTCAATGTGCAGGTACCTGCGTGTAATAATTGTTATTCCGTGATACCGACAGCGCCGTCAGCGTTTTGTTGGCGACCATTTTTTGATTAACTGTACATCGCGGCCCAAACTTTCGCACTACAACTGCACTCTTATCATATCGTGATTTTATCAACTTCTTAGTAAATTAACACTATTTATAGATGATTATTATCGTTACGCGTTGGTGTCGCGCCACACACTAATCATAGGAATATGTTTACTGGTTTTAGACTTCGCTGGCGTTGTAAAAATGGTCGGGGGGACGCCCGGTGAGAAATACACACACGCTGCTTCGCACAGGTACAGGTAGTCACACGACAATTGCGTCATGTTTGTATTTACACGCTGCCTCGACTCGCGACTCCCACCTGCTGGCATTTTTTACGTCGTCGGTGCTATCGCTCATTGACTCATCGAATGCAATTCCCCTTCTACAATCGTAATATTCCCGGTGACGTTAAATGAATATAGCACAACAAATATTTTCGAGAATATAATCTCCGATGAAAGTTTAAAACTTTTGACCGGGGACCGTAGATCAATATTGATTCAAAGTTGCGAGTGAGTTTCCCATTGAAAGTGCAGACATTCCAAAGCGTCGCACACCCCTGTGTTCGCTGCCTGTACCATCGAAAGAATTTTCATTCTCTCGACACTCTCGACGCCCCCGCCGTGGATAGTTTCCACCCGCACGTCAAATCAGTTCGCGTCGAATGCAAGAACTCTGACAAGCTAACGTCCAATTTCGGGCGCACAATTCGCATTAGAAAATCGATGCTCCGATTGGAAATTCATTCAGTTATCGGTCGCGTACAAATAGCGCCCACTCAGCGCGCTGTTCACTTCAGCGATATTAAATAATTCGCCGAGCAATTGCACGACTTTCAATACGACTCCGCTCTTCCTTATTAGTAAATAATGCGCCTGCCATGGAGGGCTGCGCCGGGAATAGCTTAAATTCCGCGCGACGGTACAGTAATAAGCGTTGGCCTTTTTAAATAACTAGAAACGCCTTAAATGGCACGAATTCCATCGCTGGCAGCGCCATTAGGAGAGAGGAAATAATGTATGATCCGCCCGTACGGCCCGTGAGATGAAAACGAAAAGGCAAGCATCGAACGAATTATCCGCGCCGTGAGGCGCACCAAGGTAAAACTGGCGCATGCTGCGGTCATAATTTCATATTTCATGTTCCACCCGCTAGTTTCACCGCGCCTAATTGGTTTAATCAAAAATTTCGACAAACAAAAAATATTTTTTCAGGTAAGACGAAAATATTGTTGTTTTCCTCCCCGAAAATACATATTTATGTGTTTATATTGATTGCTATAGGTCAGCAAACAAATTGTCTCTTGGAAAATTGAAACCAGAAACCCGAAACACGGAAGCAAAAGAAAAGCAGCGTGGAATTGCATTAATATCGCGTAGAAGCAACGCAATAACACGTAAAAACGCCAAAATAAAAACGTAATGGAACGTAATGAAACCGATGGAGCGCGCTCCCGCTCCTGTGTGCCGGGACGAGCGAAAAACTATGAGCATCATTTTTCATCCCTTAATTTCCGTGTTTTTGCGCGCCAGCGGCGAGTTCACTTTTCATTACTTATTACGACCGAAGACTTCGTGGAAAACGAAAATAAACAACTAATGCAGTTACCTTCAACCTCTCTACACATCTACGAGTACTTCTCGGAATGCGATCACGATCAAGAGTCTTCATCTTCATCGTGAAACACAAGTTTCGCCGGAAAACTAATCGTATTTCATTGCGACGAGAGACGCTACACCGCAATGAGCTATGACATCTTCCCTCATATCGCCTCTTCCCGCTTCCGAGTGGTGCCCGTCTTGATAGATTGTTATAAATAAAGCCTTGTATGTTGGGATATTTTCATCGCATCATTACGAAGTTGCAAGTGTCGGGCGTTGTTGAAGTTACAAGTTGTGCGGACAAGTTGTTGGCGGTTGACGGTAGCAACGAGCATGTTATGCCTTAATACGCCATTATGCATGCCGGAGACGGGAAGGAGGGCGTAAAACCGGCGGTAGCGCAGAAATGAACGACCCGAGTGTGTAATTTATTGCACGCAATCTATTATTACGTATTTTTTTGCTTACATTCTTGAAGAAACAATCGCGTTTTTCTTTGAAAAATGACGCGTTTTGAGATTAAAAGAAAATATAACTGACCTGATATTTTTTAATACTACTAAGTTGTTCCTTGGTCGGTTCGCCAGTGGTAATATCCACCATTGTTGGCGACGCAATACCGGTGGCAATGTTATTATTGTTGTTCGCAATGCGGCTGGGCAGTTGTGGGGCGGCGGATTTGTTCGTCAGTCGTCCATCTTTGATGTGATCCCGCGGCGGCGGCACCGGCTTGCTCGGCACCGTCGGGGCGGAAATTTGCGTCGAGTTGCCATTCACTCCGGGCTATACAAAGATTAAAGTAAAAGTCAGCATAATATTTTTCGAAAAATTCCATAACGTAGCGTCACTAATAATTCAGCAGTAAAACATTCGATGCTATTGTTGACTGGTTAAATTCTTGAGAAGCAAAGCGCACTAATTATTGACACTTAAACAATGCATATAGCAACATATTTCGAATGTGTTGTTTTTTTGTTTTCGTTCGGAATGCAAGCAAGTGAGAAGTGGGTTCGTGGTGTGAGCAATTATGATTGTTAAAAATTAAAATTGCGTTAAATGTGAACGAAAATTAAAATGCAAATGAGCTACTATTCGTCAATGACTCTACTCTTGAGAATAACCACGAAAAATAACTGAGAAAATACTTTCGAATATATTGCACATGAAGAATGCGAGACGTCGAAGCAATATTAGTTGAAATTTAGCGTTTTTTAACGCTCCAGACGCGATTTATCGTCGCAATATTTTCCCCATTTTATTTTCGACTTTTCCAACTTTTTGTTTTTCGCCCCGCCGAAACGTCGAACGTTAAAACCAAACCATACGAGTATATGCGTGTAAAACATGGCACTTTTTCATCTGAATGTGACCTCTTTTTCCATAACGCCACCCTCCCGCGACCGCGAGCGTTCTTCCCGCCCCATTTATCTCAAATTTCTCGCCGGCGTTTCATTTTTTTATCGCTTTTATTGCGCGCTTTGCATGTCGGTCGTTGTCGGCTCTCGTTCACTCGTAAATGACTGTCGAGAGTAAAAGTACCTTAATGATGGTCGGATATTTCGGTGGCGTCTTTTTGCGCTCGACGAAATTGTCGGGCACGTCGATGGCGCGCTCCTGGTTGCCGTCTCCGAATGTCACGCCCAACAGCCGGTCGTACCCCACCTACATGATGATGATGCCGATGATAAAACAAAAAAAAAAACAACGAAAATAATGATTGTGCAAGCAATGAAATAAATGTTAGATATTCATGTTATTTATGTTTGTGTGTATGTACATGACAGGTGAGGAGGTGAGTCAAGGGGATGATCGATAGCACAACAAATAGTGCGCCGATGAACAAATGAACATGACAAGTGTATTATTACGCCTATCTTGCGAAAGGAGAATGATGAATCCGACCATAATGCCGACTGTAAATACAATCAAGACGCGGCAGAAGCGGAGAACAAGAGATATCGAATTGTAAAGCTGCACTACACATTCATATTGTTCATATGATCAATGTTTGCATGACAATGAAATAAATATTTGCGACATACAAACAGCACATAAAGAAAATTCTATAAAATAAAAAAAATTAAATTTTCACTTACCGTAAGAATAGGTTTCGGGGGTGGATATCGCGGCGGCGTCTTGTTGCGGGCAATGAAAGACTCCGGCACGTCGACGGCCATCTCCCGATGCGGGCCGTTGTCGCCGGCGAGCATCATGCCCATGTTGTACTCGATGGCGGCGACGTCGTCCAGCAGCTCATCGGGCGGCCGCTTCACCGTGTGTAGATCACTGTCGCCGATCACCACGATGCTACTACCCGATCTTCTCCGTGGCCTGCAATAAAATATAAAATTCAACGTCAACTAAAATAGAATAAAAATAAAAACACATCACGTGCACTTTACACGTGACGATTATGTTCGCAGAAGTCGGTATATAATTTTATTTCAACGGTGCGTAAATGTAGACGTAGCCGCTCCTTAATTAAACAAATAATTAATAAAATGTAGCGCGCAGAAATTAAATAATTGCACGAGTGTGGAATGTGGTAATTACGTAAAACTGTTGTCTAGAATTTAATTAAACAACTTGATGTAAAGTAAAATTTTATTGTCCGAATCTAATAGAAAGTTTTTTATTTTATTTTTAAACTTACAAATGCAATTATGATTTGATTGTGATTATGTTGTAGTTTTACTTTTATTATTGTTGGATTAAATTACTTCTGGAGTTTATTTCGAATCGAAAGAAGTACCACGTAATTTTGTGTGCGCGTAAATTTGTAATTTGTTGTGAATGCGTTAGTTTTAACCGCACGAAAGCAATTTATTGGTTATTTATCCAACCTGATATAAATAATTGCACACAGGCACTAAATTTTGAACGCATAGAAATAATAAAAATAAAAATAAACGTCAATCTAGTTTCCAACGAAGAAAAAAAAACATACACAGGACAAAACAATTCTTTGTCCGCAGAGTTGAAGTGCTTTTACGCTTACAATGCACGTATGTGCGTCGTTTCAAAGTTAAGAAATTCTTAAACACCGGAAACGAGAAGCTCGCGCGCGCGCAAGGTACCCATCCGAAAAGGGCTCGTGGTTCATGCAAGGGTGAATTTAATATGTGTCTTCCCGTCCGTTTTATTATGCCCCCTTTGTTTTCTTTGCCTTTCAGCGTTTTCAAGTTTTCATTTCTGGATAATCGTCAGCCATCACGTCTAGTTTTTATACGCAGATAGAAATCGAGTTAGGTGAAGAAATGGCAAAAGACGTTAGGATCCACTGCCCCGTCTGTCGGGGCATAAATCTGACGACAATGGAAATGCACCGGCGGCAGCCAGACGGACCGTCCTCGACTACCTGTCTTGTGTCGACAAAAAGAAAGCTTCGGACGGGGCCCATCCAACGTCGTCACAGCAGGTGCATTTCAATAATCCCAACGTTCATCACATACACATAATCACACATGAGTTTCAAACCCAAACATATTTTTTTTTTAAAGTACACAGCTGACTTTTTCTTTTATAAAATTAGATAAAATTTAACACTTCATGGAAGAAAATATGAAAATTTTATGCAAATGACGATAATCTTCAATTTCTAAAGTCGTAAAAATAAAATTTTAACTTTCACGGTGCAGATTTACGACTGGAAAATCAATATTCACTTTGCGCGCAGCTTTTCCTCTGAACCATTAGCAACAATTATTAATAACAGCCGGATTAGTGACAATCCGATGCTTACCAATAGTATTTGAGCACCTTCATGTCGAACTTCATCCTGGTCGAATTATGATTATCACGTTAGCGGGCGCTAATGCGATGCGCAAGTTGGCGTAATTCAACTTTAATTAGTTATCGCGCGGCCGTGATTGTGTTTCGCGCAGCAGCCGGTAGCATTGCGCGCACACGCCGCATTCCAGAGCGTCGGTCGCGATGTCGCAACACGAAATTTGAAACGTTAATTAATTCGATTCCCTCAGTTCTCTTTCTCGTACAACACTAAAAACACCACACGCACACAATCGCACTGAATTAACTCAACACGCTTCACGTGGATATCCAAAATGCAGGCACTAATTACAGAATTGCACTCACACACAGCCGCACGGGTTTTATTTGAGAGGATGTGAAACAAGTCGCGTTTTAGTTGATTTTATTCTCGTAGCGAAATTGTGAGACAGGTAAAAATACTTGGCGCAACGAAGTTAAGTCACTGAGTGAGTAAAGCAAGTGTTTGAGCTCGCGCAGCGGCTAAAGTTACTCGGCGGTGTGTTGAGTTAAGTTGGAGGGAGGTTTCTCGACCGAGCTGGAATGCGCGCCGCGACCGAGATGAAGTGGGTGGCTCGCGAGCGCAGGTACGACGTACTGAGTACGTGAGCAAGACGAATTTTACCTTCCATGCCGTCAGAGCTTTCCGTTGAAAAACAATTTTTGACTGTGCATACAAAGTGTCCAAATAATTCACCAAAATAAATAAAAATTTAAAAATTATTGAAAAATCACTTTAAAACTAAATATTTTGGTTGTTTTTGATTTTTAAACACCTTGTATATCAGGTGTGTATTCCCTCTACGCTTCCATACCTTCATTCTTTCAGTGGCGGCTGCCTGCACGTCGGAATTCCACGCCGATCTTTTCTACCTGAATATTTTTATGACTGAGGATTCCAGGGTGGCCAGACCTTTTCCGTTTGCACAACCCTACACACTTGCTGCGTATACATTATTTTGTTTACTAAAGCCTCCTATACTTAAGTCATGTTTAACGTTTTTGTTTAGCTTCGGGACTCAAGTGGATAAAAGTCAACATAAACTAAAAATCTGAGATTAATAATTACACCCTTGAATGTGACTTAAGTAGGTTAGTGCCGAGGTGGGTGTGGGTTGTGTCTGGAATTTTAATCGTGAGTCACAACGTTTACTATGACTGAATTCCTGGGAATTTCATGATAAAATTTTTCATTATCATCATTAAATTCTGTTGAAACAATTTTTGCCACTACATGATAAAAAATAAAATCAAAAAAATCAAAAAAAAAAGTTTTTCGTCTCTGTAGGTTGTATTTTTGTATTTTTTGAGTTTTTAACTTGTGAGTTGAGAAAAACCAGAAGCATAAATTATGATTTATTATCTGAAATCGTTACCAACGCAATACCACCGCCTATAATCCGTAAAGAACGCATGAATTACGTAACAGGTAACACGTGCTGGCAACACGCTCGGCTGCATCCAGACGTTTGTTTGTTGGTGCATTTTAATGTTACAACTTTAATCTACTACCGGATCACATTGCATTTAATACCTACACCCATATTTGATTACATTTATTATTTCATAACCTACTCATATATTCATATGCTTTAAGTCGGTTAAATCAAAATTATTCAAGACGTAAACTTTATGCCGTGGCTAAGCAGGCAGCTTAGAATACATATACTCATTCTATGCGAGATAAACATTGCTTGAATTGTTGAGAAACGTTCGTATTTGTTGATTGCGAGTTCGTTGCACCTAACATGCTTACATTCCTTGTTGTGGTTGTTCAAAGTGTGGTAAACAATGGAAAATATGCCATAAAAACCAATCAGAGAGGTGGACCTGGTGCTGGACTAGTAAAAGGTTTGATTGTTTGAGTATTTCGGTAATTAAACAACGACGTAGAGTGGATATTTATGGTATTTGTTACTGTTTGGTGGTAATTAGAAAAAAACGGAATTTATTTCTGTGTTTCACTTGATTTCTAATGTTCTGTCATGAGTGGATTAAGTGATTTGATGTCGATGTTGATGTCGATGTGCGCTTGAACACAAGGAAAGTTGTGTTGTGTTGTAAAATTGATTAAACACGTAACTGCAAAAATTCTACGATTTTACTTGAATGCTAAGTGAAACACTACCAATTTTGTAGTTGAATGTGGAAAGATTTCACTTGCTTTCGATTCGATTTGCACTTGAACGTAGCTAATAAATCTAAATATGGTGAATAAAAACGTCGATACGATCAAATACATTCGTAGAATTCCAATTTATTTCGATTTGTAAAGAAAAAACAGTTTTCGAAAAAATTTTGTTAAATTTTCAAATTTTCAGGTTAGTCAAATCAAAGTAACATCTTATTTTAAAGTTTTACCCAAATTTACGACAAAAGAGATAGAAAAAACGAAGAAAATGCAATTTTCAAATAAAAACATAAGAAAATCTGAGTGTAGACGTATAGATTAGTAATTTATGGATATTTTATGCAAGGTTTGTGTTTCTAGAACAATGGGTTAATATTTTAAAGCAGAAAAACACGCAAAAATTTTACCTCAAAATTTGCCAAAAAAATAAAATAAAATTACAAATTTTTGAGATACTTCAATAATAACCTCAACAAAATGTAATGCAGATCTCTTAAGTTTTAGTTTGTCTATAATTTGACGCTATTTTCACATTTATAGGACAACAGATTAAAATTTAACGGACAAAAAAACAACAAAAAATCACCAAAAAGTTCAGAATTTGCTAAAAAAAATACAGGAAAACAACGAATTTTATAGATTATTCAGTAATATTCTACTCTAAATTCAATCTAAATCTGATTTGACTTCAGATTTTCTTTAAAAACTTCAAATTTTGAGCAAAATTTATTCAGCAACTTCAAATTCCACATTTTTCCCTTTTCTTAAAGAAATGCGCACGTAAAAAAGTAATATTTTCACAAGACTTGTCATGAGATGTTAACATTCGTCATAACATTTCATCATGGCACTGGCGTGAAGTATAGAATTTCAAATATTTAACGCTTTCCGTGTCAACGTGCACTTTTCGTTTCCCATGTCACTTCGGGTAACACTACGCGCGTCTCAGCGTAAGTTAAGCACCGAGCGCGCACTCGTTATAATGTCGACTAAGATTTTTATTATCAAATTATCACCGTACGTGTGTCGTGATTGCGCTCGGCTGCAAGTTAAGCGACGAGTGCGCTTGTAATCATAGACGACAGTCGCATCTAGACGAGAGAAAAAAAGTGAACACACGACGAGCCAGACGCTTTTAATGCGCTCACAAAAACAAAAAAGGAAAAAATTTAGTTTTAAATGAAATTTTGTTTATTTTGAACCAAAAATAGAGGTGATTATAGTTAAAAATTAATGATAATATGTGTAAAATAAATGATTAATCAAAAATCTGCTTTAAATTCGCTCAAAAACACAAAAAAGTAAAAAAAAAAAAATTTTGGATCAACAAATGATAATTTAAAATAGATGATAATAGATGTGAAGGAAATGATCAATCAGAAATCGTGCAGGAATGAAAAATAAATGGAGCGTCCGTCCGCAGGGCGTGTATAAAGTTCGCATAAAAAGGGAGCCGAGAAATAATGAAATCTCACGGCATGTAGAAGGCAGAAATGCATCCAGCGACCTCCAACAAAAAGCGTAATAATATCTCGTTATGTCTGGCGGAAAAACCGAACAATGTAAACGCGTATAAAGCACGTCGCACGTTGCTTCCTATTTCGCTCCTTGCTTGTCATTATCAAATTGCTTCAAATTGCAATCTGCAACATAGTTTCATCTATCCGCATATCCACTAAGAATACAAGAGACATGCGACAGTTATTTTGTAACAGAGGTGGTAGATTTTACATTTCGCGTTCAAGTTCGACGTTGTCGTTCGCGTGTTCATTTTTTATTTTCTTCCATTCAAAAACCGTTCTATGCACTCAACAATTGCACGCTGCGTCTACTCCAGTAAACACAACAATCTCTTTAATAGTGAATAATTATTGTTACGCCTAAATTGCAATATTCTCGTTGAGGATGTTATAAAAACCCGTTGGCAAACATGTATGCGCAACGTACGAGTGCGTTTAACAACTTCACCGTGCAATTTCGCGTTGCATTTTGCCAAGTTAGCAATGTGAGCATCATCTCCATCTAACAGAACTAGGTATGTACAACGGATAAATGCTTCCATCGTTTATTTTCAATGCGCATTACGTACCTGCATACTCGCGTCTTATTATTGTTACGCACGAACACACCTGATGATATGCGTGCGTGTGGAAGACAGGATGAGCCGGCGCTCAATTTACATAACACAACGCAAACAAATGACTAACCGAAATACCTCTCGGATGTTTGCGAATTGTGTCGCTTCTCTTTCGAGGATTTACATAACTAATTGAATATTTAAACTGATGAGAGATCAAAAATCCGTTAAGTGTTATTGAGAACACTGAAAAAACACCAAAATTGGCAAGAAAAAGTGCAATTTTAAGCAATTCTCTGCAGAAAACTTCAGAAAAGTTTGGTGTAGATGAGTAGAGATGGAATTTAGCTATATTTTTATGTAAGTTTTGCGTTTCTAGGACAAAGGGTTAAGATTTTATAGCAGACAAACAAACAAAAATTGGTAAAAATTGAAATTTCCTAAAAAAAATACAGAAGCATTGTGATTTTTTGAGATTTTTCAATAAGAACCTAATCCAAATTGAATACAGATCTCTAGAGTTTTAGTTTATCTATTATTTGACGTTATTTTCACATTTATAAGACAACTGGATCAAATTGAACGAACGAAAAAGTTCAAAAAAGTTCAAAATTTGTTAAAAAATGCAGGAAAATAACAAATTTTATATATTTTCTAATAATATCCTACGCTAAATTTTATGTAGGTTTATAGAATTTTACTTTATCTATCGTTTGAGTCTAGTATCACAATTCTAAGACGACTCATTTAATTTTGTCGAACAAAAAAACAAACAAAAAATCAAGCAAAAACATGAAAAAACGATTTTTATTAATTTTCTAATGATAATTCTATAAAACTTACTCGAAAATCAACGAATTACCTTGAAATTAATAAAATATTTAAAGGTAAAAAACTCTCAACATCGTAAACAATTCTAAGAAAAAGCAAAAAACGCCCCATTACGAAAACACACCTGTGAATGATTGTACATTTTAGATTTTGGGAGAAGTCCAAAAGTGCACGAAACGCTTGTATTCATTTGGCAAACACAGGCAAACGTACAAAAAGCGTCCAAGTGAATGAGACACGTTTTGTCCGCGTTTTTATGCCCTCCCATTGTATCCGAAATACTCCCACGCTCGTTTTATTCTATCTTGTTTTGATCTGATGATCACATACACATCGAAAAAAAGTTGGCATGCTGAAATTACCGGTCACAACACGCCAGAACAATGATTAACCGATATTAGGTTAAGTTAGGTTAGGTTACGCACACATGGCGTGAAAATAAAACGAAATGAAAGAAAGATTATCAAGTAAAAGTGGTGCTCAAATAGCAGCAGTGGAATTCCGTGAAAATACTGAACGGAATACGTTCTTTGTCGTTTTTAATAGAAAAACTTAGAAAATAAGGAAAGTTTTTCTATGAAATATGCTACCGAAGTCAGGGGCTGCAGGCAGACAGCAAAAAAAGCAAGCACTCACAAACGTTTCGCCAAAATTCCATCTGGATTTCCTGCAGTGTCATTTCGTAGCGTAGGTTTCCACATCCATATTTCAATTTATATTCTGTGTGTTGCACGTGCAGTGTGCTACTGTGCGCATAATTTTTTCCTGCCGTTAACCAGCAGAAACAATTTCGTCGAAGTTCTTCTTCCAACAGAGTAATTTTAGGAATCCTAACCCTAAGATTTGTATTTCTCGCAGAATTTCGTTTGTGCGAGACGTGAGTTTTTAAGAAACGCGCATAAAATGGCTTTTGAATTCGCCGAAAAACGCATAAAGGCGGCGAATAAAGTAGACGGAAGAAAAGAGAGCGACTTCAAAAGCGAGGCTACTTTTAAATTGACCAAAGCGAGGCGTTCTAAGAGAACTTCCCAACGAAATTCCACGCGGTTAAGTCATCGTCGGAACGCTGGAACGTGAAACGAGTAATCTAATGTCAGTTGTGAAGAATTTTGAAGACCTACCACACGACTATTAGCACACGAAAACAACAAAAACATCATAGAAAATTACAACGTCGTATTTTTCACTGTTTTTACGTAGAAAAACACGCAAAAATCATAAATATCCAACGTATAAAACTGAAATTTTGTACTTTTGTTTTTGTACTTTTGTTTTTGCACTTTTTTATTGAAATAATTTATTTAGGATTATAAAATCTGCATTAATTTGTTTTTAATAAAATTCCTCATCTAAGGAGTGCTTTCTGAATCCAAAATTCATACTAGAACTGAGCTAAAATTGCAATTTTATTCAATATTTCATCGTAAAATTAACTTTTTTTCGATTTTCAACTTTTAGAACGCAACGAATCCTTGTAAAGGCATAAAATTAACGTGAAATAAAAGCTAATTAACTTCACTCTTACTTGAAAATTAATTTTTGAAAATTTTAAAACCAGAAACTATCACAAAACACAAAAAATTATAAATTTCCAACGTATAAAACTAGAAAATTGTTTATTTATGTTTTATTTTTGCAGGCTTTTTATAGAAATATTTTATATAGCATCATAAAATCTGCATCAATTTATTGTTCCTTAAATTCCTCATCCAAGTAGCGCCTTTTGAACCCAAAATTCATAATAAAAATGTGCAAAAATTGCAATTATAATCAATATATCATCGTTAAATTAACACTTTTTTGTTTTTCAACTTTTAAAACACAATAAATCCATGTAAAAGTATAACATTTACGTAAAATTTTAGCTAATTCAATTATCGTTTCCATAATGATTAATTTTTGGAAATTATAGAACCCGAAAACTATCAGAAAACGACTTTTTTCATCACTTTTTACTGTTTTTACTCAGAAAGCGCAGAAAAATCTAAAATTTCAAACGTATAAAACTGAAATAAAGATTATAGGAATAGTGTCGACAGAGTTTTGTTATTCCGAAGGCCAAAGATCCAACGAAGGCCCTAGAGGCGAAGAGTTAAGGCGATTTCCGGTGCGTGTGCGATATCCGCAAAGCAGATCACGAAAAATAAAAGAATGGCATCCACGTCTGAAGACTCCCGACACTCTTCTCTTCGACTCTCTAGAGTGTTGTCTTATTTAAGCTTCATTTGCATACAATACCAAATATATTCTCAATTTCTTTCTCACCGGTGTGAAAATCATAAATAATAACACACTTTGTGTGTGTCGCCGTCGCATTTATCATAAATAATTCAACTAGACCTACCTAAAGGTCCATCTTTTTGCAACAACACTACAAACTAATTTAGGGTGCGGCTGCATTTGCATATGTCAATCATTTCATGCACGTGTGAAGCACGTTTTCTATTGTCGATTGTTACCGTGTTGTAAAAGATTTAAATTTGAATTTAAATTGGAAATAAGACACAAAGGAATGATGACTAATACACATAAAAAGCATTTCGATGGAATTTGATTAAAAGGAAAAGCTGAAATTGGAACGAATTGACGCTCGAGAGCTAATTCGCCGATTTCAACATTTGAATGGTTCGTTTATCTGTGTCAATATACCGGCGATTAGTTCCCCGTTCTCTCCTCTCTCGCTGAGGAAGTTTACGACTAGCCTTGATAGTTTTAGAACCCGGAGTGAAGAAAATCGATTACCACTCGGCGGATAGTTCGTCCGTACGCTAACTCGATTAAAACATTCATTATCAAAGCATCTTCGCGAGCAAAAGTCGCGTGATTCAATTAATATGTTTACAAGCGAGTTGTGCGCGCTGTTCACCCGCAAATTTAAAAATAATTGATGAAATTTGCGAAAACTTACCGTAACTCCGGTTCGATTGCTAGTTTATTATTGTTGTTCTCGATGATTGCTGTTGTTTTCAATTTGTTGTTATCTTCGGCGCCGATTAGTAGCTCAGTACGGCCGTTTTGAAACGGCGATGAAGCTCTTCGATCGTCTGTTAAAGACACCCCAAATGTATAAATTAAATTTGGCGGTTTGAAAATCTACAGAAATAAAAATAAAAAATAAAATAAAAATAAAAACAAAATTTTTGTAAAAAAATATTTTACCTAGCGATGCCCTTCGATCATCCAATTTCCTCACATCTAAAACTTGTTCGCTACTAGTCCTAATATCGTTTGGCACTTGATGCTTCACCACCGCCTGCAATTCACCGGAAGTGGCAGCAGAAGCAGCGCTAAATTGTTGTTTAAGTATAATCTCCGAGTGTTGATCACGATGATGTCCGTTCGTCTGACTAGTCGGTAATAATTTTTCTCGACCGAGTGTCGACGATGGTGTTGTGGTGGTTGTTGTCGCCGTAATCACAATTCCACCCTGCTTGCATAAACTATTCGGATTGTTGTTTAGGTTTTCAGTCGCAGTCAGTGAGGTTACGTAAATTGGTGAGTTGTTGATGAAACCGTTCAGTTCTTCGTTCGACGTGGTTTGTTGATTCAGCTACAATACAGAAAAAAGAGTTGTTGTATTGATGCAGAGTTATTAGTTATGCATGTGTAGGGACCACCAATCTAATTTAGTTCCGGCCAAATTGGACAGAATATTGCTTTGCATCGGCTGCGACCAACGCGAATATGCAATTACAAAATTTAATTATTTTTGTTGTTATACACTCAGATTTAAATGTGGGTTGAATTTCTTTTTAGTTTTTGGGTTTTTACTGGTGAAATTATTTATGTAGGATTACAAAAATCAATTTATAGTTAATTGAATTTCTCAATCAATAAGTTTTTTTTAATTAGAAGTTTATAGGAGAAATTAATTAAAATTGCAATTTTAGTCAATATTTCGTAGTAAAATTTTCATTTTTGCATTTTTTTCGTTTTTGGCTTTTAAAACGCAATGAATTCTTGTATAATCATAAAATTTAAATGAAATTGTAGCTAGTTAAATTGTCTATAAAGTCATAATTAATTTGTAGGCATTTTCAAACCGGCAACTATCACAAAATGTCTTTTTATAAGCTAAAATTGCAATTATAGTCAATATTTCATGATAAAATTTACATTTTTCGTTTTTTGACTTTTGCAATGCAACGAATAGTTGTATAATCATAAAATTTACATGAAATTATAGCAAATTACATTGTCCCAAAAATAATAATTAATTTGTGCTTATTTTCAAATCGGAAACTATCACAAAATGTCTTTTAAAGAGGAAAAATTGCATTTTTCACCAATATTTCATTCTAAAATTTAAATTTTTGCATATTTTCGTTTTTCAAATTTTAAACACAACGAATCTATATATAATCATAAAATTTACATTAAACTATAGCTAATTAAATTCCCTATTACCTAACCATTAATTTTTTGAAAAAATCTAACCGGAAACAATCACAAAATGTCTTTTTACTAAAAATTTATGAAAAAATTCCCTTTCTCTCCCCTAATATTATTTCAATATAACCAAAATGTCCATAGCAAATTGATTCTGGTTTGAAGCCAGAAAGAGCGCTCAAAACGTCTCAATGCCAGACGATAATGGCGGTAATGTCAGTGTGGGCGCCACGGCTTCAGTGTTCTGCAGTGTGATTTGTGACTGGAGACGCAGACGCCTGTCGTACGTGTGCATATTGTAAGACTTCTTCTAGGTAAGTACCGCACCGATGAGAGTGACACACTGACGGAATAACAAAACGTAGCCATGCATAATACATAAACGCCACACCACAACCGAACCAAAACCAACGCGATTCTTGTTCCTCCGGAGATAAATTGTAAAAAGTGAAAAGTGAAATAGGAATTTACGCCAGCCCAGCCCAGAGTAACGTAACGCAACGAAACAAAGCAAAGATCATATTTCCGAAATGTGATATATAAGAGTTTAAGTTTTATACCACTCAAAACTACTCAGAACGAAAAATTTAAGTGGCGCCACTTGGAAGTAATAAATTTCGAGGTTTTAAGGGTGAAATTGCCATCAGCACTCTCAATGCTCATGTGTTTGGCTGGATATTGATACGTTTTGGTTTTGGCATGTTTTAGGTGCGTTAAATAGAGCGTCAAATTTGTGAGCATGAGCATAATATACGTACGAGTATTTGAAAATTGAATTGCGTCGTTCACTCGGTCGTCGGCTGGCATGTTTGTGCGCACCAGCGATATTAATACCCTTTATCGGCTGATTGTATTTATGTTTTGAGGGGCGGCTGGACAACACGTCGTCGATCGTGCGTGAATAAATTTTGCGGCAACACACATGCGAAAATATAAAAAAACAACAACAACGCGCAGCGAGCGGCAACTCTCGGTCGTTTATTGCGTCGTAAACTTTCGCGTTTCGAGTGCATTAACGTGTGACAACGTATGAGTACACGCACTGCTAAACCACTTTTGTCTACAAGTCCTTTTATAGAGACTGAAATTTTCCAACGGGTATAAATTATGAGGGAATTTGCTCTGAAATGACGGTTAGAATCATTAGAATTGTAAAAAGTTTGATTTTTCTGGAAAACATCCTGTATCTTGTGAATTAATGACGTAATTTTAATTTTTTCAACGGATTATTATAATTTGTTATGTTTCCAATAAATTGTGATAAATAAAAATCCATAAAATATCTTCGAAATAGCTTAAAATTGGTCCTAAATTGTTTTTAAAGTTTTTTGCAAAATATTGTTTTGCTCTACTAGACGCCCTGTATCTCGTGAATTAATCAGGCAATTTTAATTTTTTCACAGGATTATTAAAATTTGATATGTTTTCAAAAAGGTTGTTGTAAATTATAATCCATGAAATATATTTAAATTAAGTTAAAATAGCACCCAAACTTTGTTCACGTTTTTGGCAAAACGTAATGTTTTGTTTCAATAAACGCCTTGTATCTTATAAACTAATGAATTTAAATAAACAAAATTAAGTTGAAATCATAGTTTAACTAAGTTTTATTAATCTTCAGATGAAATTTTTATTTTGTAGGAGGTTTTTTATGTTTTTCGCAAAAAGTAGTTGAAATTACGTAAAATATATTTTTTCCTGGAAAACAACCTGTATCCTGAGAATTAATGACGTAATTTTAATTTTCTTAGCGGATTATTAATATTTGAGATATTGTCAACAAATTTTATCAAGAAACATTTCAGAAAATATATTTAAACTAACTTAAAATAGCTCCGAAAGTTTTTTTTCTGCATTTTAAGAGCAAGAATCATGTTTTGCTTTAATAAACGCCCTGTATCTTATAAACTAATAAACTTAACTAATCCACATCAAGTAAAAACGTAGTTTAACAAAGTTTTATTCTCCTTAAAATGAAATTTTTATTTCCTAAGTAGTTTCTGTTGTGTTTTTCGCAAAAAAGTTGTAAAATGTCGATGAAAATGATGAATTGCTGGCATTCTGGCCTACTGGGCATGCAAGATGAATGAATTGTTCAAAAGCGGACTGCTCCTCGTAACCGCAGCGAACAAGGTTTTAGTTTCAGCATTTCGCCCCGCTTTGGGGTTGGATGCAAATACAAACTGGCCGATATCAGCGGCGATCCGAACAATGCATATGATTTGCCAATTTACGATCGAACCGCAGGCAAACTCGAATTGCCACTCAACTCAACACATTATCCGCATCACTTTACAAAAATAATATAAAACAAACGAAACACAATCAATAAATAATATTTTCACAGGCAAACGTCCCTAAAAAAACACCCTGAGGGCTGGTTTTCATGCATGTAAAATTTATTTGCGTGTGTAACGTGGCCTTTTGAGCAATCGCTTGGCGTTAGTGGCTGCACAAAACTTCCGGGGATTCAGAATCCTGTGGCGCGCTTCCCCACAAGCCCAAAGGTTTCCAAAAACTGGGCTGCAAAGCAAGGGACGGACAAGCAATAAACTACAGACAAAGCAACCAAGGAAGTGCCACCCCCACCGCCCCAACCGCGCACATAACGCGTATTTAACTTGAAAACTATCAGCAGCGCTCATTGTGACATGCTCTAGCCTAGACAATTTCCCGCTGCCTCCCTCATTTGCATTTACATTCACATTCATGCAACCCACTCGAACCAGACAGACATATAACTAAACTACTAGTCGAACACCATTCATTTATGCCTAAAACAATTCATTCGAATCATCTGCGCATGCGTACATCCATCCATAAAGGTCACCATGTCATCGAAAGCTCAGCTTTTATGTCAAGTGGATTCTTTCGGACCATTTTCCCCTCGAGATGCCACAAGTGTGCGCTTCAAGTTTAAAAGTACCCCTAAACTCATATCAGCGCATAAATCTACCGATAAAACACATTCAGATGTCAAATTTCATCGAAATTGCGCCTTAAATCAAAGCGCAAGTTAAATCAACACTCGTATTGTTTAATAATCTGCATTCGCGCACACAGCGCTGAAGTTTAATTGCGGATTGCATCGACAATCGGCAAAGTTGCGATTAATTCGCGCCAGCTGGGTGTAATTACCTGCTCTGACAATTTAGTCATATCGATCGGTTTGATCCGCTTGAGGGCAGAGAGGCGTTCGAGACGTTCGCGCGCCTGCTGCTCCACGGCGATGACGAACGCATCCTGCACGTTGCTGGCGAACAGGTCCAAGTCCACAGCTGCAACCAATGAGACACGTGTTAGCCCTGTGACGTCACCATTACAAAACAGCGCCATCTATTGACGCAATCACACAAAAACAAGTTTTACACGTGGAAATTATTACAAAACAGTTTTTAATTACGACATCATCTTGGGGCTATTGAAATACATAACGGTATGTGAATTGCAATTAATTCGTAGCTATATACAGGGTGTTGGATATTTTATTGTGAATGTGCTGCAGTGCGTGAAGAACGATTTAAGTAGGAAAACACAAAACAAGCTTTGCAGCTTCCTGAAGCTTATATTATGTGCGCTATCGATCGCGGCTGCAAACACATTTTAATGGCGTATGCTGATGGCAGTTATGCCATATGCATTCGACGATATAACTCCTGCACAAAAGCAACAGATATTGCCGAGTTCACGATGATACTCGCGCTCGCGCGCCATGAATGCATTAGGTACATCTAGCGGTTTCGTTATTATCTTGTCACTTACGGGTGCCGCGGTGGCTGGCTACCGCAGACCATAACATAGAATATTTCTGCTCAAACATCAAACATATAATGGCGGACTTACTTTTTTGTAACGAAGGAGAGAGTAGTGTATCGGAATCACCTGAAACGAAGTGACTTCCATCAGTATTGCAAGTATTATCGTCATGTGAGTGCCAAAAATCATTCATGTATGTTGATGTATGTTGATATTGAGATGGAAATTGTGAGATGTGACGAAATGTGAACTGTAACCCGTAGCTTTTGACTGTAGGCAACCAATGATGTATTCACTTGCATTTGAGAGTATGTATAATGCTAGTTTACTATAGGCAACCAATGATACACGTAAAAAGCGGTCCTTTTCAAGTCGAAACAAATGAATGCTAGCAATTGTCTATTGCGAATGTTTGCCGTTTGCACTCGAGAAGATTTCGACTCGAAAAGCACAAAACACATACGTTTGACAATACGGCGAGTGCTGGAGCGTGCGCACAACGAAATGCAGACGAGGACTTGATAATTGAATAGCAGACGTGTCCTCGACACATTCATCACTCGTCGAAAACAAAAACGCACGCCAAAATCGTCATTGTCATCAGCACAAACAACTTAAAACTAGAATTTTAAACAAAACACATACAACATCAACAAAACAATATAGTTTTGATTGATTTTATTTACGTTTTCAATTATTATTGAATAGACTCGGTCGAAAAATAAACTTTCAACTTTTATGACACATTGCTGGAAAATGTAACGACGAATAAAACACAATTGTTCGGATTCTCAGCGGACTTATAGCATTAACCCATAAAAAATCGCGAGCGCGCTTCGATCCTGACCGATTCGTCGGGATTGGTGAGCCGTGGGCGCACTTCCGGTCCGACTATTTCCGGCTCTCGCTTCGCCGATGTCATCGGAGCCAATTGCGCATTCGGCACAATTGTGTGAGCCCAACAATACATGCAATAAATTTAATGCGAAATTGATTTATAATTAATTTACACAATGAGGAAAATTTTCGAACTAATTCAAAACTTGTGTTTTACATCCCAGCGTGTGCTGTAGGCTATTTTACCTTCGTGGTGTTATTTATTCACATGCAATGCATAACTCCGTGGACGTAGAATGTGAAACTGGGAACTACGAGAGGAGACTCAAGTGTTCTCGACATTTTTATAATAGTCAACATGCCAACGAAGCCAAGAGAACTACCGCAGTAGCGCGCAGAGAGCAGCGAGAAACCGGAAAACCCCAAAGTCTCGTTTTCTTCACTTTGCGCCGGACAATAAAAGTCTCTCAACGCGCATATTTCCCGCTTGCTACCAAACCGGGAGACTCTCTCTGGTTGGTTTTATGCGCGACATTACTCTATGACAAACTATGCCACGTCGCACGCTAGGTCCGAATTGTTTCAGCCGGAAACTAAATAATAAAAACACCGAAATGGCGTATGAAATGTCTCCAAAGTGCCATTCGGTTTGCGGAATGAAATAAGACGTAGAAAAGGAATAATGTTAGAATATCTGTGCATTGATGCGGCATATCCTACAAAAATGAGGTTAGGTCAAACTATCATAGTGCATATGTTAGGTTAGAATCATTTTTGACAGTTTTACAAGGTCAAAAGCATAATTTAGCTTAGAATTTTTCTGTTTTTAGTAAAAATAAATCTTGCAATGATAAAATAAAGTTAAAAAACTACTTATGCAAGAAGTAAGAAGTTAGAAATGAGGTTAGATCATACTATGTTATCACGTACGTTAGGTTACAATCATTTTTGACAGTTTTACCAAGCCAAATGAAGTATTTAGTTTAGATTTTACTGTTTTTGGCAAAAATATATCTTACAATGATAAAACAAGAAGAAAAACTGCTTGTTCAAGAAGTTTGAGGTTAGAAATGAGGTTAAGAAATGAGGCATAGCACATATGTTAGGTTATAATCCGTTTTTGACAGTTTTTCAAGATTAAAAGCATGATTTACCTTAGAATTCTTCTGTTTTTAATAAAAATAAATTCTGTAATGATAAGTAAGGTTAAAAACATCTTGTAAAAGTAGTAAATGATGTGAAAAATCTGTAATCAAGTTACGGTTCTAATATTTATGCATTGATGCAACATAACCAATAAAAATGAGGTTAGATCATATTATAATAGCACATATGCTAAGTTATAATCATTTTTCACTATTTTTGAGTTAAATTTTACTATTTGTGGTAAAACTACTTCTCGCAATGAAAAAATAAATCTTCCTTTAGAAGTAGATGTGAAAAAATCTGTAACCAGGTTGGTCAGTGACCTCCTTCGCGCGGTATTTACATGAAAAATTGAAATTAAAGTTATGCAAGTATAGCTCGCCTGCGGGCGCGGTGCAGAGCCGTTCCTTCGGCTTCACGTCTTCGCGTGGTGTTCTTCTTGGGATGGCCGCGCGCGAGCGAGCGCACATCTCGTTAGCCTTGACTCGCAAAGTTCAAACGCGACCTGGACACCGAAAGCACCAAGCCTCCGCACCATCGAAGCCAATACCGCTTTGATTCCTTCTTCTCTCTCAATAACAACTCGTGAATATTTCACATTCAGCGTATAAGTTTCAATAAAAACGAAAATACCGAATGATGCAATATGCAAAGATGATTTACGCACGATTGGATGCGTGTCGCGACTGGTGACTCGAGAAAACTGTTCAAACGACGCACGTGTTTTCTAGGTCGGCATAATGACCGTAATTTGTATGAAAACTATCAGAAAAACACAGGTGTGTCAGTGTGCTTGATTTACACTTCCGGTTATAAATCAAAATGGCATTTAGACCAAGTTCACGCGTATAGATGTCGCTAGTGTTTTTTTATGTGAAACGAAAATAAATCTCCGGATCACTAATTAAAAGAAGAATGCAAACCGAGATAAAGCAGGAAGACAAAAAAAACTCCTGGCAAGACGATCGTTTAAATTTACATCTTGAGTGACTCTTTAATTAACACCCCCTTAAAAAAAAAGTCTTGACATGTTTGCAGCGCGCGGAATTTGCGCCATCACACGCAGAACATTAACGCGCAAAAAATACGTCTCCGGAGTCACTGTGAACAAGTGAAACCCGAAAACCCAAAGAGTAAAGCCCGGAAATTATTCATTGCATGATTACTCCGGACATTATCTATATCTGGTCGACAATTTGTTACCGCTCTTGAGTGAGCAGTAAGCCGCTTTTCGTGCGTTTTAAGCTTTTATCGGCGTACATGGCACACTTTTCGCCTCCTACACGAAACGGGGCGGTCGCAGGACGGCCATCATGCCGCGTTAACTGCACTCCTGTGACGCCCGGCGATAAATTCGGGCCGTGCGGATGAAAATCTTGGGGGACGCGTCACAAATGCGTGATTACGCCACGCCGGTTAGTACAAAACACACGTCACGTGGTTATTGTCTTTCCGGGAAAATGGCCGGCGTGATATACGAGCTCAAGACGGTAAAAAATTGGTTAAGGTATATTTTCGTTTCAAGGCGCGCAGAACTCTGCACAGAAAACTAGAAAATGAAAAATCCTTGTTTTTGTTACGTGTCCGTCTTGAAAAATACTTTTAACCACAATATACAACTGTCAAATGTCATTTTTATAACCTCAATTTAAAGATATCAGTATTTTTTGCAGTTTTATAGTATAAAACTACATTTTTAGAAATTACAGGAAACTAGAGATGAAAAACATGAAAAATCTTCGTTTTTATTACGTGTCCGTCTTGAAAAATATTTTTAACCACAATATACAACTGTCAAATGTCATTTTTATAGCCTCAATTTAAAGATATCCGTATTTTTTGCAGTTTTTGAGCATAAAACCACATTTTTTATGAATTACAGAAGACAAGAGATGAAAAACATGAAAAATCTTTGTTTTTGTTACACGTTCATCTTGAAATTATTTTTAACCTCAACATGCAACTGTCAAATGTCATTTTTATAACCTCAATTTAAAAAATCTGTATTTTTTGCAATTGTAGACAGTAAAAACACATTTTTATAAATTACAGAAAACTAGACATGAAAAATCCTTTCTTTTGTTACTTGTTCAACTTAATAGTACATATTATACTTCTAACCTAAACTTGAAACTGTCAAATGTCATTTTTATAACCTAAATTTAAAAATATCTGTATTGTTTGCAGTATTAGTGTGCAAAACCATGTTTTTCATGAAGTACAGAAAACTAAGCATGAAAAACCTAAAAAATCCTAAACATGCATTTATCAAATGTCATTTTCATACCCTCAATTTTAAAATATTTTTTTGCGGTTCTGGAGTGTAAAACCATATTTCTTATGAGGAATTGTGATCTACACTCACAATAAAGTTCACTTTACAGTTTTACAACGTTTAAACCGGTGCAAATCAAAGAATAAAAGGCTCGAATGAAGAAAGAGAAATGCGAGCACACGACGGCGGCACGTAAACAGAGTACTCAATTACCATTACACGCAGAAGCAGCGCGCACTTCCCAACAGCCGCTACCGCCGCCTCAGCCGCCTCCGCCGCCACATAAACCAACTATTATCGTTGGCTTTATTGCGACTTTCCGCGCGCAGTCAAAATTGTACTTAATTCACTTCACCATTGCGTTTATTTTTATTTTTATTCACATCTACCCTACTGTAAATCAAACCAGCGTAATTGTACATCTAAAATAATCTATACTAAATAATTAGCTTCATAAAATGGTCATCGCTTTCTATTTGTTTCCATTTAACTGTTTAATTTGCATGTGTGATAACTTTTCGTGCGCGTTTACAAACTCGGTCGCACAGCAATTGCTCATAATTAAACGTTTTAATTAGCGCCGATTACAAAAGCATTTCCTAACGAGCAAACGCATTGTTTGCGTTTATTATAAACGCAGGCAAATGCAAAACAATAAATAATTAGTATTTGATTGTTGCAACTTGGAAATATTCAATATTTATCTTGTTGCAATGCCAGCGATTTTTGAAGCGCAAGTATTGCTTAGTCGTAGGAATTAGTATCAATTATATTACATTCGATTATTTAACGATTCACAATTACCTTCGTCGACTGCAGACGAGGAACAGAAACAAGGACGATTACGCAAGCTGCACTACCTTTTAAC